AGACCGTCTGACGGGTTTTGATGTGTTAGGTTGATGAGATAATGAACAGAGATGCTCATCAAGTTTGATTTTGATTTGGGGGTTAAGAGGAAACTGCAGTTCCTCTTCACAGCAAACGGCCCACGGCGTCAAGCTGCGGTATCAGAGACCGTCACACAATTACAAGACGAAATGATCAGCGTTTCAACATCCTTACATTAACATATCTATATCTAATCCATAGATCTATTAAACTCTCTCGCCATTTGACCTCATCCCACATGAATGTTTCTGTGTGTGTTTAATTTGAGTTTGTTGAAACAAATTGACGCTGACCCTTTCTTCCTGAAATTGTGTGATGATCTCTAACACCACACCTTGTCGCGGGAGCAGAAACAGTGCTAAGCGGCCAGGCTGCGTCTATATATACGTTAAATATGATCATTAGCAAGTGCAGCTTAGTGAAGATTGTGGTTGGAGTTTATTGTCTTCCTTGATTTCACCACCAAACTGCAGCTGCACTGATGAATCTGTGGGCCGTTTTCTGTGAAGAGGAGCTACAGTTTCCTCATGATGAGCATCTCTGTCCATTATCTTATCAATCTAACTCATCAAAACCCGTCAGACAGTCTCAGGGATCTGTTAGTTACTTCTGCACACGAACACGACCTGTATCCACTACATTGCTTTTGCGCACGAATTAAAAAAATAAACAACGTGCGTTCACTTAAAAATTAAACGACAACGATTAAAAGAAAACGAGAGAAGCAATGAGAAAATTGTGATCACGAATAAAAAAAAACGTACCCACGAAGTAAAGAAAACGTGCGCACGTTTAAAAGAAAACGAGGGAACGATTTAAAAAATCGTGACCACGAATAAAGGAAAACGTGCGTACGAACTGCAAAACGTTCGCTCGAATTAATTAATTTTTTTAACTCCGTCTCCTCCGGGGCTCCGTAGTTTTGTGTTTGTTAACCCGTTTAAAACGAGAGTTAAGTAGCCATTACAGCTGTAAGTTAGTTGATGCCTAACTTACGTTTGCTACTTGTCATTGCTGAGGTCAGTGATAAAAAGAAAAACATTACCAACCTAGCATGAAGTTTATCAGGAGGATTTCATTTTCAAACGTACATTATAAAACGGGCAGTCCCGGTTCTAAAATCTGATTGGCTGAGCCGCGTTCGAAGCCGTTGTGAAATACTCCATATAGGCACACTTATGACCGCCTCACAGCAAATCCCTGTGCTGTTCATTTAATAATCTTTGACTCTAATGCTGCTCGCATGAACTACCGAGTGTTTTGACTAAGTAACAGCCCGTTTTTGTTTAAACTGAGGGGCTGGAAACTTATTTTCTTACCTATAACTCGGCTGGTCCACTAGCTAACAGGCTAAAACATAGCTAGCAAACATGCCAGCTTAACAACTCCATCATTAATATCACAGACTTAAATTAAAGTACTTACGATATGAATCACTTTAGAAAGGCAATATAAAAGACTAAAGAATATCACTTGAATGGCTTACACACTTAAATGCCCAAGTTTCAGCCAGATCTGTCTTAAATAGCATCAAACCCAGGCTCAGTCTCAAACGGCTCCATACTCCCTAAATAGTGTGCTTGCTATATAAGTAACGAAATGCTGGTTTCTATTTAAATTCCTACCTAGTGCACTATGTAGGGAGCAGGGATCCATTTGAAATTCAGCCCCAGCGTGAGGGACGCCATTAGCTTGGTGCTAAATAAGATTGCAAATCACATCGAGGCGCTAAAGGAAATTAGCATTGTCATCACAGTGATAACTTGGTGATCAAAAAGTACTTATAGTTGAATATTATATCACTGTTTAATGCGATCCAAAAGTATTGCATTAAACAGTTATATGTTATGATATGTTCATTATTATACAACAAAAAGTGAAAAAGTTCATGAATAACTGCCTTATACAGTGATGGGCGACTGAAAGTTCTCTTCATTCAACCATCCATGGCTGCTGGGTAAGGATACTACAGAGTAAAGGAATTACATTTCTTGGTGAAATACTTGTTTATGGTGATTACAATATTCAATAATAACCTGAATTATTTGCAGAAAAAAAAGTGCATTTTACCATATTTGATGTTGTCTACTGTTTTATAAAAGCAATAAGCCACTCGAGGCTGTGCGTTACTGCAATTTTATCACAGGGAAAGGGTTCTAGGCACTCCGCTTAGCATCATGCCTAAGAACACCCTTCTGGTCACCACAACATACCACTGTTAAGGCTACTGTTTAAATGGATCAAATATTAAAAGCCTTAAATTTAACTACTAAGACAACAGCATTCAATTTTATCTTGAAATTATTTAAAAGTATTCACACTGAACAGCTTATTAGTCTTACATGTTTCATTCAGTACATTTTCTCCCTGTAAACAAGATAACAGTAGATCTCAGAGGTCGACTGTCTAGCATTAAACTACAACAAGTAAGTAGCCAGGTTTGTGTAAAATAAAACAGACAAACGTCTCTTTTGAACCACTTTATTACTATTTCATACCGCAAAAAGTCCAAAATGTAAACTTAAACTGAACAACATCGCAAAATAAGATCTCCCTAAGAAGATTTCTCAGTTAGTTAAATAACTTAAGTCCAAAGATTAGAAAGATTAGGAATGTCCAATAAGAATGTACTTAATGTCCTTAATGGGCTTGAGTTATCTGGCTAAACTGAGAAACCCTGCTTTGTGAAATACCACCCCAGGTTTACACTAAGGTCACACAGCCTTGTTGACGTTGTTTAGGGCACAGCATGACTTACTGTCAACTGTAATATACACAAAACTTCACTGTGTAGCAGCATCTACTTTAGACAACAGGTTTTGTTCTGAATTTCAACCACCTATTTGATATATACAAATCTAAATCAAAACAGTAAAATCAGGACTTAAAATACAAATTAAAATGAACACTTTATACACTGTACAGTGGTCCTTTGGTCATATATTAACTCTCCACTTTTTCTTTTCTGAAGTACCCACTGGATCAATGACAATACTAGTGGTTTAACTGTCTTTTGTCCTATTTTTTTAATAACTTCTTAATGCACTAATATGCCATTATTACACTGTCATTGCAGTTTGCTCTTCTGCTGCCCCCCACTGGAGAATGTAATCCTTTACAGGAGGTTTTACTTTACATTGGCTATGCCTCATTATCTTCTCTTATGGCTTGAAGTCTTCTACACAATTTATTTTGTGTTCCATGTGTTGCATACAGTGTGTGCCAGATCCTGTGAGGCAGAAACAGCTGTTTAACAACATACCAGTCTCTTTTCTCTCTGTTCTGGTAGCCCCTCCCTAGGGAGCAGAGGGTGTATCCTCTTACCTTGCTTGTCCTACTAAGATGGTGCAACTCCTCAGTGTAACACATTTAGCACATCTTAAAGAAAATACCCACGCATCATGTTTTCTCAGAAAACATTTTTAGAATGTAAATACCTCAGTGTCATTCTCTGCTATGGATCTCCGACTATATGAGCACACTCCTGTAGCTTTGTTGTGAAAAGCCATGTATGCACTTGAATTGAAGTGGCTGGGCTTGTGCACCTCTGCTCGATTCAGATGCCCTAGAGTATTCCTAACAATACCTGATGACTTTATACAGCAATAGATTAGCCAAAATACATATTCACACAATTTCCCCTTACCCCAAATATATTCAGTCAGCCAAGATATGTTTGAAGGCTGACAGTTGGTTAACCAGGATCTTATGTATACACTATATGGCCAAAAGTATGTGGACATCCATACCCATTGCTAACAGGTGTATAAAATCAAGCACAAAGCCATGTAATCTCCATAGACAAACATTTGCAGTACAAACGTGTAATGAAGAGCTCAGTGACTTGACCTGAGTCAGTGACTCAGGCACTGTTATAGGATACTTTTGCCACAAGTCAGTTTATGAAATTTCTGCCCTGCTCTGAGTTCCAGATTACCTCCAGAAGCAACAACATGCGCAATGGCAAGCGTCAGCTGGAGTGGTGTACAACACACCGCCACTCGACTCTGAAGCATTAGAAATGTGTTCTCTGAAGTGATAAATCATGCTTCACTATCTGGTAGTCTGACTCTAGGTTTGGTAAATGTCAAGAAAACGTTATTTACCAGAATGCATAGTGATAACAGTAAAGTTAGTTGGAGGATCGATAATGGGCTGATATGTTCAAGTGTCTGGTCATCATGGGCCCTCCCACACTATTGGCCCTAGTGTGAGCACACTACATAGTGTTAGTGGTGACACCACTTGGCTTGTGAAGAGCGCTTCTTTAGGTTTCCCCTAGCATTACAAGACTACTTAACAAGTAATAAAAGCTTATAGGAACCAGTTTAGCACTGTGCAAACTGTATACTTCACCACACACTTGCCTCAAACTGCATCAGATCATCAAGTAATCTCAAAAGGACTTGATATACAATATATGATACATGGATTTCTATGAAAATGGACAAAAGTATATATATATATATATGAGATTAACTAGCAACTTTAAGGCAAATGTAAGATGATTTAGGAATGCAGTATGCATGATGCTAAACTGGACCATTACTTGTTAGCTACAATAGCCACACTTTAGACATGAAACATGTCTAGGTTCAACATCTACATTTGTAAAAAAAAAAAGGAGAAGATTGTGTCAATTTGACATTTTTTGTGGCCAACTGTCATTTTAAAAGTTCGCCAGTAAATGCTACTCCCTCCTCTGTAGTTTTGCTTCAAATGTTAGGTGCCATCGATGTGGCATTCTGGTCTCCTATGTTGCATTTACTGTCTACACAATTTTAAGGCACTTTGCAAGTCTACAAAATAAGTATGCATATAATTAGCCTACATTTGCCATTTTAGGGTTATTAACCCATTGCTGCTTGTCTATGCAGTCAAACTAACTTGAATGACCCTAGTCCCGTTCTTGATAGGTGGACAAACATTGAAAAACATCCAATGGACACATGTAGTAAAATGTTTCATAGAAAGCCAGTTTGAAACACCATTAGAAACTTTTAATTGAGGTCTTCATTTGAAAATCACAAACTCTCATACACTTTCCTCCCATTGGGCACCTGGGCAATTTTAGTGCACTAGTCCCTTTCTCACTGGTGAAGTCATACCGGCTTGATGTAGCAGGTGACTGTTAACAGGAGGAGACGCAGAGATTTGAACATCAGAAGGGTCGTAGAGAGAGGGGCGATGTCCAACATGTTAAAAACCCCCAGCAGTCTGATCCCCACAACTACGAAAATGCCTCTTAAGGAAAAGACGACCAAGAGCAAAAATGAGATAGAAAAGTGAGACGATGAACGGGTTTGACCAAGAAGAGAAAACAAAACAATAGTCAAAGGTGAAACAGTTAGGATAAAAATCTACAAATAAACATACATTCTGAAAATCTAGGAAAAGAGAAATACTCGGCCTTGAAGATGAACAGTACAGAGGCAGGTATTTCTATAGTGTCCTCTGATATGAAGCCTCAGTCTATTTCATTTCCCTCTGTTGTTGCGGTCCAGGCTGACCGACATGGAAAAATCAGTTAAATGTCCACTTAAACTGTAATGCACTAACATTTAAATTGTAATCAGAAAGGCATTGAAAGTGTTATTCAAAAAAGAAAGAAAAATAATTTGGGCATGAAAAAATTGATAATAAAATTGCGTTCAAAAACCACACCTCAAAGAGGAGAAAAAAAAAGGTAAAAAAAAAAATCCCAAATCAAAAAATAAAAATCCATACATACAGTCAACCTATCCTGAGTACAGTCTACAAAAAATAAATAAACCCTTGATGCTTGTTTCTCTGTGCGTGCCAGTGAGCATGTTTGTGTGTGGTCTATGGAACGGGACAGTTTAATCAGTCCTGATTTTGTCGGCTGGTGTCAGTATCCCTGTAGGCCGTTATAAACCTTCTGAGATGGAGTCTGCTTCAACAGCTGCCTTATACCTGCACACAGAAACAGAAGCATTACCTGTATGACTACTGTAACAAAAACAAACTGTGAAAGAAACAGGAGTACAAGTAGAATTGTAGTTGTATGATGTATAATGTAACTACAAACAAATTTAAGCACCGTCATTTGTAACATACAAATTTTCTAACATCTACACTATATGGCCAAATGTATTTGGACCTCCTAATTACTGAGTTCAGGTATTTCAGCCACACCCATTGCTAACAGGTGTATAAAATCAAGCACATAACCATGCAGTCTCCATACACAAACACTGCTAATACAATGGGTCGAACTGAAGAGCTCATTGACTTTAAACAAGGCACTGTCATAGGATGCCACCTTTGCCACAAGTCAGTTCATGAAATTTCTGCCTTTTCAGGATCTGCGCCAGTCAACTGTAAATCCGTTTATTGTGAAATAGAAGCATCCAGGAGCAACAACAGCTCAGCCATGTGCTGAAGTGTGTAGCCCATAAAAATTGCCTATGCTCTGCTGCATCACTCACTACCAAACTGCCAGTTCCAAACTGCCTCTGGAAACATAAGCACAAGAACTCAGCTTCCTGAAATGGGTTTCCATGGCTGAGCACCTGCATACAAGTCTAAGACCACTACTCAGATGCCAAGCCTCAGCTGGAATAGTGTAAAGGATAATGGGGCTGTTTTTTTTCCTTGTGGGAACCTCCTTGGGTTGTTTTTTCAGGGTTTGGGCCCCTTAGTTCCAGTGAAGGGTAATAATGTGATAATGTTAATATTACAGCATACAAAGACATTTTAGACAATTACATGCTTCCAACTTTGTGGCAACACTTTGGTTTCAGTACGACTCCAGTGACCTACACACAGCCCTGACCTCGATCCCAGTGAGTCGATGAACTGGGGTGTGAACTGTGAGTCAGGCCTTCTAATCAAACATCAGTGCCTAACCTCAGAAATGCTCTTTTGACTGAAACACTCTCTAAAGACTTGTGAGAAAAAACCTTTCCAAACTCCTTATTAATGCCCATCGTTTTGGAATGGCATGTGCAGCAAGGTCATTTAGGTGTGATATCCACATGCTCTTGGCCATACAGTGTAAATCAAGAAACTTCCTTGCTTTGCCCATACCATCTTTCTGTTGGTCATCAAGTTGTTCCTTGGGGAAGTCTACATCAAATGTTATTATTAGTGATCCACGGATATTGTTGTTATCAAAGTTGGGAAGTCCTTCTCCTTTCTTCCAGATTCGGGCTCCAGGCTTGGTAATTTTATCCCTAACAATGTGAACCTGCAAAAACAAGAAGCAGCATAATTTATTATTTTTGGCAACTTATATAACACCAGAATACTAGACATAAGTGTGAATAGCCTGAGTGATGATAATGACACTTGCCTTGTGACCATCCAAATGCGTGATGTACATTTCAAAGCCAACCAGAGCCTCTACCAGAGTGATGGTGACATTTGTGTACAGGTCATCACCTCTGCGCTCAAACAGTGGGTGCCTAGAGTACAAAACATACAGAGTAATTAGACTCTAGGACATACATCTCTTCAATCACAGAGTGCTATCTTCACCGGAAATACTGAAAGAATTTTAAGAAAGGGCCTACAAAGCAACAGGTAAAAGCTTAACAACATGATTCCCAAAACAGCCTTGATTTACAGTTGTTCGGAAAGGTTTTACACGCCTTATTTTCTGAGTGAAACGCATCCTCTACAGTGAACCCACTTCTGCACATTTTTATGCCCTGTTACTGTTTCTTTGCTTGATTTAACATATTTGAAAAAAGTAAAACATTAAATTTGGCCTTTGCAAATGTTATGGCACATTTTACATCTTACATGTTTCTTATGTTTATTTGTTTATACATTTTTTAAGCTCAGCAAATAAATAAAAATTGTGCTCTATTGACTATAGATCACTATAGAAAATTTGTTCCCTGCAGAGGACATAATAACTTATTTTCACTTCAAAAATCAACAAAAAATATAATTTGACCAGGACGCCCAAACTTTTGTATAAGACTATATTTGGATTTTTCAGATCAAATAGCTGTTTTTATGAATTCCCCTCTTGATCTTTTATGATCTGTACCATATAAGAGTAGACAATATACTTAAAACATACAGAAAAGTCACTGAAAAAATGCGATTTTAATTATGCAATTATCCCCAGCACCACTACACATATTATAACCACATTATGTAAACATGTTGCAGTGGGTTTATTTACTAGTAATGGGCATTCTGGCTCTTTTCAATAAGTCAGATCATTTGGCTCAGCTCTTCAAAGAAGAGATCTTTCAGCTCAAAAAATTAGCCAAGTTAGCAATATTATCTACCATTTAATTACTCTTATCCTTAATCCACCTTATAAGGAACTAATCAACAAAAAATGCCATATATTTTAAAAAATATATGCTTTTAACTGGACTAATTTCAAGAGGTAGGGGTCACAGGATATTCCAGGGGTGCCTAATCATAGTCCTAAAAATCTACCACTCTGCAGAGTTTAGCTTCAAACCTAATCAAAACCACCTCATTAAGGTAATAAAGGCCTTGAGAGGCATCTGAATATTAGAGCCAGGTATGCTGGATCTGAACTTTTCACAGTGATAGATCTCAGGACCAGGAAAGGGCGCTCAAAGAGCCGACTCATTCACTAATAGCCCATCAGTACTATTTACTTCCAACATTACTCTTTTAAAAAGATAATAATCACACATGGTTACGTGAATTGATACAATTTGAAGTAGTATTATAGTAATTGGGGGTTTAAACTGTAGTATATCATTAAAGCTGATAACCCTCCTATCCCTACTTACTTTAAGACTTTGATGCGGAAGCGAAGATCTCCAGGTTCTCCATCAATGTGTGGTTCACCTGCACAAAAAAAAAAAATAATTAGGATGCATTAAATCTAGGACAACATGCATTTAACCATTCAAAAAAATGTAATAACCCATCTCAACAATATCTTTCTTTCCCTTTACATGGCTTCTTAGTACCTTAAAAGAGTAACAGGACTGAAAGTAACAGGGTTGAGTTGAGCACAGAATTAGCAAAAACACACAATGTGGTTTATTAGAATCCATGCTAATGGAATAAGAACATTAATGACATTAACACTTTAAATAAAATATATATGGTTTAAAATAAATAATATACTTTCAATCTATAATTTGGATAACAAGGTTAAGCTTTCAGAGTAACCTCATTTTAGTCAAAACTAAAATGTACATTTTCATTACCAATAATGGATGACTCGTTAAAAGCTTTGAGCTTGAAATTTAAATCGATGCACAAATTAATGCAAAAATATTACATTATTAAATATCTTAATGGTTATATTCCACGGTAATGTGTAATTATAGTGAGCTGGGATGGGCAAAAAGCAGTTTTCTAAGTGATGTAGATTTTTTTTTATTAATGTTTTATTTATCTGAAACATGCACATCAGTGGTTGTAAAGGACTCTTATTATATCTATCTATGTTTACAATGTCCTTTATCTTTACATACATATACAAAGTATAATATCAGTAGGACACAAATGGCATCCCAATCATGGGAGTATGATAAAATCTTCAGTGTCTGTACCTTCACCAATGAAGGGATACTCCATCTCATCTCTCACTCCCTGCTCAATTTCCACCTCTAGTGTCCTCTCTTCATTCACAAGCCTGCATAAAGTTAGGAATGCCATTTAATCCAGTCTCTTAGCAAATTAAAGATTTACATCAAACTGAAGTCTCACATCAAAAAATCATTAGCTGTGAAAGGTGGAAGTTAGACTTACTTAATGTTTGGGCATTCATCACAGACTACTTCTTGTGTCATCTGGAAGCGGCCCGGTCCCAGCTGTGTAGTTCTCATTTCCTGGCGGCAGTTGCATTTCCTTTTGCCTGGAGCCTCTTTAGCGACAGGCTTGTTTCGCACTACCTACATAGTGAAAGAGGAGCGAATGTGAGAGAAGAAAAGATGTGATAAAGAAGAAACACAGATAAAGTAGAACAGGGCATCCAGTACAAGAGGATACAACATAGCACATTTTAATGGTTTCCCTGCTGTAACACCACTAAAGCCAGGTGTACCCCTTTTATAATCTAAACAGATTTTAAAATTGGAGAGCATCACATGCTTATTGTCAGTCTTTTGCAGAACTTCTGTAATTTTGTTCTGAAGGTGCCCACACAGTCATGCAAAAAGAGGGTATACAACACAGATAGTGTCTTGGCTGTAACAAAGCACTCAAACCCCCAAATCCCATCATTATTATGTGATCCAAACAAAGCTAAACTGGACCATAGCATAAACTGGTGATGAATTTGTGATTGAGAAGCATAGATACCATTCTATTCTACAGCAAGAGCTGGATAAATAATTCATTACAAAATGGCAGCTGAGAAAAGAGAGTGCCTTGACATCTGGGTCCATATATCAAACATTATAAAGCCGTATAATAAAGCCATATATTTGCCTATGTTCAGCAAGCAGCTGTGTGCTGTACATATGTGTACGTATATATCGTGTTCCAAATTTTTTTGCAAATGATATTTTTCTCTGATTTTCCTAAATGTCAATGCAAATGACAGCCAGTATAATTTTAAAGTCATTAACCGTTAGAGTATAAATCAAATTTTATTGAACAAACCTTCTAATGATAACAGCATTTTTTCAAAAATAAAAAAACCCAAAATGCACTGTTCCAAATTATTATGCACAATGGTTTCAACACATTTTATAGGTTGTAAAGAACTGAAAATGGTCATTTGTTGAATTTGCAGCATTAAGAGTTTACATTTACTGAAATCAAAAGCTATTTCAAATCAAAAACATCTTAACAGGCCAAGTTACATGTTAACATAGGACCCCTTCTTTGATATCACATTCACAATTCTTGCATCCATTGAATTTGTGAGTTTTTGGAGAGTTTCTGCTTGAATTTCTTTGCAGGATGTCAGAATAGCCTCCCAGAGCTGCAGTTTTGATGCGAACTGCCTCCCACCCTCATAGATCTTTTGCTTGAGGATACTCCAAGTGGTCAGTCAGAAACTCTATATACTTTGCCGAAGTCATTTTCACACCTTCAGGGACACTAAAGGGGCCTACCAGCTCTCTCCCCATGATTCCGGTCCAAAAAAACTCCGCCACCTCCTTGCTGATGTCACAGCCTTGTTGGTACATGATGGCCATCCACCAACCATCCACCATCCACTACCCCATCCATCTGGACCTTCCAGGGTTGCACGGCACTCATCAGTAAACAAGACTGTTTGAAAATTAGTCTTCATGTATGCCTGGGCCCACTGCAACTGTTTCTGCTTGTGAGCACTGGTTAGGGGTGGCCGAATAGAAGGTTTATGCACAACTCCAAGCCTCTGGAGGCACCAGCAGCTTCAAATACCAGTTTGCTGCTTTGTAATGGCATTTTAGCAGCTGCTCTCTTAATCTGATGAATTTGTCTGGCAGAAACCTTCCACATTATGCCTTTATCTGCACGAACCCGTCTGTGCTCTGAATCAGCCACAAATCTCTTCACAGTACGATGATCACGCTTAAGTTTCCTGAAATATCTAATGTTTTCATACCTTGTCCAAGGCATTGCACTATTTGACGCTTTTCGGCAGCAGAGAGATCCTTTTTCTTTCCCATATTGCTTGAAACCTGTGGCCTGCTTAATAATGTGGAACGTACTTCTTAAGTAGTTTTCCTTTAATTGGGCTCACCTGGCAAACTAATTATCACAGGTGTCTGAGATTGATTTCAGTGATCCAAAGAGCCCTGAGACACAATAGCATCCATGAGTTTAATTGAAAAACAAAAAATTAAATCTTTATGACACTTAAATCCAATTTGCATAATAGTTTGGAACACGGTGTATACATACATATACATACAATATATATATATATATATATATATATATATATATATATATATATATATATATATATATATATATATATATATATATACACACACACACATCGCTGCTGTCGGAAAAAAACTTCTGTCTCAATTTTTTTCGTTTTTCAGTTTTTGAAAAACATGTCTGTTGCTCTTTACACTGTGTGCAGATTTTATGATGAATGCACCAAAAGAAATGGCCCAAAATTACACTGAAAGAAAGTAAAGTAAGTTTTTTCCTTCTCCTGTAAAGTTACCATTTCGGAGATACAAGGTTTTGTTCTGACAGCAGCAAAATATATTATTGTTCAGTTCAAATTTTATTGTTGGGCCTATTCACAACAAGTAGACTTCAAGTAGATTATTTAATTAATCAGCTATTAATCAATTCCTTCATCCAAATACCATTATTTGGTATAATAATTTTCTATCAGAGTGGTCATTTTTCCATTTTTGGAAATATTTATATTATAAAATTTACATGCTATTGGTAAAAGAAATAAAGACATGATTTGAAATCAGCTTTTCTTAACTAGAAGTCCAGATATTGCACACTTTACACGCAAAGCTGACACACTTATGAAATAACAAAACGAAATGTACCACCTTATCAAAGAGAAGAAAAATGTTCCAATAAACACAAACACACACACACACACACGCGCACGCACGCACACACAGCTTGTTCAGCTATTACTTACTTCTACAAAATTTCCAGAATAAACCTCCTCCAGCGTAACTTCAAGGTCCAGTATGATGTCATTTCCTCTCGGAATGTTCCGGTCCTGTTGCTGCCTGTTTCCACCAAACATAAACCCAAAATCACCAAAGAAGCTGCACCAAAGACAAAAAGAAACATTTGGGTGTCAAGACAGAGATATGTAAACACAAGTGTTAAAATTAGGCAGTGATATATTCAACGTTTCTCAAACGGTCCTTAAAGCAATGAAGTATAACGTAACTCTAGACCTATTAGATATCAATTAGATATTAATATTAGACTCTAATTATTACATTAGACACAATGATTGACAATTTAGCAAAGTAAAACCAAGAGTAAAAAAGGAATAATGAATAATTGAATTAAATAATATTATGCATTATCACAGATGTTTCATACAGACATGTATATTTGTCATGGATACTAATCAATGACTACAAATATATAAATAAAATGTAATAAATTTCCCAACCAGGCTTGACAACATTCTTCAAAATTCAAAGAAATTCCAAAAATTTTGCAATCCATGTTTTAATGAAATGATGTTTATATGCTTACCTGGAAAAGATATCACTGTGTGAGCTATGATGGCCTTCCTTCAGTCCTTCCTCTCCGTAAGCATCATACTGTTTCCTTTTCTCCTCATCGGAGAGCACCTGAGTTCAACCAAGAACAGCTTACTTAAGTTATTTCACTCATAAAATCGTTTGAGATTGCTGTTCTTCCTCATCAAAACACGTTTAGTCATTTTAGAACAGTCTAATACGTGTTTATTCCTATATTTACACGTTTGGTGAGGTAATAAACCGTCTAAATGTGATCTGTTTTCTTGCTGTGTTTTAATTTGCATTCATTTACTCAGTACTTTTCAAACAGCTTTACTAACGCCGCTGAAGATCCACGTCGTATTTTCGGGCGTAACGTTACCGGTCAGCTGGCGTTTGAGCCAATCAGAATGAGCCACACATTTCTCTCCACCAATCAAATTCCTCCGTGGTTTCCCCACCAACGAAATCATGACTGTCACAGAAGGCTCGTTGGATGTTTAGTGCAGTGACATAAAAATAGACTTATCTGCCCTGTTTTGGCCGCATAACGTTAAAAAGGTTTTATGTTTAGTAACTGCGGAATGTTCTGAACTTTACAGGCGGTACAATTCAACGATAATGCACACATTAATGCACCAAACCATTTTAAAAGCACACCTGTTATAGCACCTAATGTCAGGGTAGCCTAGCAGGCCAACACACCTCGTATGCTGCTCCGAGGTCTGCAAATTTGTCCTGGGCATTAGGGTCATCTGGGTTTCGGTCAGGATGAAGCTGCAGTGCCAACTTTCTGTAAGCTTTCTTGATGTCTTTAATAGATGCTGATCTGCTAACCCCAAGGATCTTGTAGAAATCTCTCCTGAAGGGATAAAAACATTACAAACTGTGCTCGTGAAACGGTGAAAATCACTACACGATGGGGGACAAAAGTATTTTTGTACATCCTGTTTAACAGGTTATCTGGGGAAGAATGGGATACACAGGATACGACCGTTCAACTATGTAATCCAACCAGCTAACGTTAACATACGCTGCTTTACCACCAAACTCACCGTCAAACTACATTTAGACAGGCCAGCCTACGTTACTCTTAGATAAAGAAAAAAACATTTTGATCATTTTGAGCTGTCGCATGTGTTTACCAGAGAGTGATTAAGAGCTGGGTAATGGTTTAGATCCCCCTCCACTGTAGCTCACATGTAAGGATAGTGGAGCGGCGCAGACCAATCACAGAGGAACATGTGTACCAGCTCAGCGACTCGCTTTATACAGCGGAGTAACACAAAACCGGCGAATAAAATACTACCACCACCTACCCTGCCAGCACTGTCGCAATTAAATACAAGAGCAGACAGCATATACTCGATAGTTTCATCCCTCCCACGGCCATAGGTCTTGCTTTCTTCCAGAAGTGAGGTAAAACACACCGGCTTTCTGTGTGTTGTCTCGCAGTGACCTCTTCCTGTTCGCACTCAGGACACGCCTCCTGTCTTCTTACCGACTGGCTGGAAACGAGATAAAAGTCTCGAAAGGCATCAGAATCAATAGGACTGAAATTAGACACACAAAATAATAATGTATATCTACTATGCACCGTGGATAACTGATCCAAAATAAAATCAAAATAACAACGAAATTGTTGCTATACAGTATGGAATAAATGCTTAAATTCTTCGGTTAACTCAACTTTTATTTTGCTCGAGATTGCTAAGGGGAAGTCCTTTTATTTGCCTGCACAACGTTGCAAGTGATATAGGAAATGACAATGGCATCCCTTGACAGAGTCAAAGTGTTGGTCTTGGGAGATTCTGGTAAGACACGTAAAATAGCTTTAATTCTTCATTATAAGCACATCGTGTTTTATTACATGATCTTCTAGATTGTCGTCGTCCAGTAAGAAACTACTCGGCTAGCTCAAACTAAATGCTAAGAAGCCAACTGTGTTTTGACATGTAATAATAGTCAAGGTGTACTTTGCTGCGGTCTTGATTTCTTGTCTGACTTTATACTGACGGTGTGCTTGCAGGCGTTGGAAAATCATCTTTAGTTCATCTGCTGTGCCAAAACCAAGTGTTAGGAAATCCTTCATGGACAGTGGGCTGTTCTGTGGACGTTAGGGTAAGGTTAATATGTGTTGAATGTGCATCTGTCCAGTTGTAAATACGACTGTCATGTCGAATACACACACACATTCATGCTAACGGTTTTGCTTTTTATAACAAACTTTATTGAGAAACAATTATTTCAGTACATGTTTATCTTCAAACTGAACAAAACAATATACAAAAAACATACAAATACATCAAACTATTGTATACATGTTGTATACATATAAAAAACGAAATAATACAAAATCTCTTACCAGTAATATGCTTGTGCCATGCAGGTTCATGACTATAAAGAGGGCACCCCTGAGGAGAAGACCTATTACATTGAACTGTGGGATGTTGGAGGGTCTGTTGGAAGTGCCAGTAGTGTTAAAAGTACCAGAGCGGTTTTCTACAATTCGGTTAATGGTAAAGTATCAAAATGTTATATTCAGACAATATAACGATGAGTAAAAAAACACAGCAGCATATTCTAGAGGTGGTCCACTTTTACAACTGTCGCACATCACAACACAGTGGAACATACAGAGGTTCTCTTGTGCAGGGAACACACTAACCTTTGTAGAGCAGTGGATCTCCAGTATGGATAGGAATTTGTGCCAAAGAGAAAAACAGTCACTTCAGTGGAAAAACGTGAAATGCAGTGCACACATAACATTACTTTTTCATGGTGACATGCAGAATACATGGCAAAATTAAAAACTTGCCAAAAACATGCCAAAATACAATCCACTAAGTGTGCAAAATGCCCCCTGGTATTCGAGGGGTCCATTGTTGGTTGGTCTGCTGCTAAATCACTCACCATAGTGGTGCTAATGCTAACTTCAAGGGCAGTAAAACGTTTGGTTTAACAACTCTTCTCCTGGAAATGCTCTTTTCTAGGTTGGCAATGCGGTCCACACATTAACTGAGATCAACAATAACAATTTGTTAAAAAGAATGAGTAAATGAGAGTAAAAAAGGTTTAAAAAAGAGTGAGTAACAGTTCACTCTTTCCACTAAACTCATGGAAAATTGGAGAAGTTTTCAGATTTACAAATATGCTATGCCATATTGTGTATCCCAGGCATAGTAACAGCTGCTAGGCTATGAAGAACCCAGAGGGTGATTCAGTTTGCTACAGCGCCACCCTGAGGCAGACCAGTTCTGCATCTTTATTTAGTCAGGAATGCCAAAGACACAAGATCGCTGATTGTGGGTGAAGCAGCTAAACAATAAGCTTTACCCGAATTTGTATTTGAGTGTCTAACAGACAGCATAATGTCATAATATTTTTTTAAGGACCCCCAGAATTTTGTAGGGTCCAAAAGATTAATTAGGAGGTCCTGGACCCCCCAGGACCCTCTGTATTTTGCACCTACACTTTAAAATTTAATTAATGCACAGCTATATTGTTTTCCACCCTACAGTACTTTAAACTGATTTTTCTCATTAAAATGCAACCATAACAGTGAAAACAGTGAAATGCAGTGCACACATTACATGCAGAATATGTGCCAAAATGAAAAGCAAAGCCCCTGTTACATTGTTTTCATGGCACTTGACCTCTTTTTGTACTTTGTCTCATTGAAATGCAACCAAAACAGTGAAATGCAGTGCACATATGAGATTGTATCTAAACTGTACATGCTGAAAACATGGCACAGTGAAGAGTAAAAGATCCATTACATTGATTTAACATTGTTTTAAGTACTGCATAGTATAAAACAATATAGTGAATTCTGACATGAATTCAGCACTTTGTATTTAAAATGCAAATGCTCATGCATTGTTTTTCAGTTAAGGAGTCGCATGATGAGAAAACAATGTAATAGAGGGTTTGTTTTTCATTTTGGCACATATTCTGCAATGCAATATGCAAATCAGCACTCTAAAATGATCTACAAGTCACGTTTTTATTGTGAGCTGTGGACATCCTGACCAGTCACATGTATGATTGGAGATGAACATTTCGTCACTGTTTTGGTGAGTCAAGACATTCACATTTAGTCTTTGTTACGTTAGGGGTTCACCACAATTGCAATACATAGCTAATATCTCATGTAGCCACTAAATTTGAATGGTGTGTGTATTACAAAATAACCTGGTCCTCCAATAATAGTTTATTTTTTTGTTCTTCAATTGTGTTTTTTACAGGCATTATTCTAGTCCATGATCTGACCAACAAGAAGTCCTCCCAGAATCTGTATCGCTGGTCAATGGAGGCATTAAATAAAGACTCCTCTCCTACAGGGGTCATCGTGTCCAATGGGTAAGGCAGCCTCAGTCAATGTTAAGTGGAAAAGAAAGATATAATTAATTTACTGTAGCCCTGCTCTAACAATTATGATTAAGCAGTTGACTAATCTTATGGGCTTTTCAGTAGGGAGTGACTTGTTGTCTAAGAATGGTAAGTATGATTATATGATTTGCTCAGTGTCTGGGTCTGTAAAGTATGATAGAATAGAATAGAATAGAATAGAGGTGGTTGTCCAGCTAATCTAAGATGCTATAACAAGGCACACATCCTTCATCAGCTCTTATAGGAGCTGATGTGGAATAATACATATTATTTGGGTTGTGGACTATTCTCAGCACAGCAGTGACACTGATGTGTTTTTTACCCACTAACTACATTTACTGGCAACTTTGTGGTTAGACCTTGTGCCAAATTTATTGGTCTACTTTGTAGGTGTGGAGTTAGACAACTATATCTTTACTTTTTCTGTACACTTTGGGTTCATTCTTGAGCTCTTCATCAGTGGTCAGTTTCTGATCACAGGACCACTGTTGGCTGGATGTTTTGGTTGGACTATTCACAAATCAGCAATGACAGTGATGTGTTTAAAACTTTAGCAAGACTTCTGTGCCTGATACAGTCATATAGAATTGCTCAGATGTACATCATAGTCAGATGTACATCATAGTCAGATGTTTAGGGACTGTTTGTGATGTGTTTGAGGGGATCTATCCAAGGCATGAATGACTTATCGCTTTTATATTGAAACCACAATTTAAAAGAGTACAAATTTCAAATCGCAAGAGGAACTTTAATTCTATCTTAACAAGTTTTTAGTGGGGATGTTTAACCGAATAAGGCAAAGCTTGTAAACTGGCGGTCTAGCACACTTCAGCATTCAAGTTTTAAAAAATCGATATGCTGGTACTTAATTTATAAAAAATAATCACATTTAAATTACAAATCAGAATACTGATCAGCAAAAACGCAGTCAGATCTATTCCTCAAATTGTTCAGCCCTAATCTATCCAGCACAATTTGATGATTTTTCTGGCAGTTAACTGTTAAATCAGGTGCATTTAAATAGGAAAATTACCAAACTGTTCTAAACCGTTTACAATCCCTGCTTTAGGGGGGTTGCAATGAGAGGCAGCCATCAAGGCTAGAAAAGGAGCTAATAATACTAATACTAATAATACTAAAACAGTACTATATATCACTGTCAGTGGTGGTCATGTAGTGGGCGGAGTTGAGGGAGGGCTGATAAATTGTGCAGCAACATAGAAGGTACAGTCAGTAATTGTATACAGACAAAGTGCTTGAATGTGGTAGGTGGACCTGATAAAATGCCTAATGAGTGTAGGTACCAGGTAAGTGTACCTAATAAACTGGCAACTTGATGTATATGATACATGAAATGTCTGCTTTTCTGTGGAGACAGGGATTATGACAGAGAGCAGTTTGCAGAGAACCCCATCCCTCTTCTGCTTATTGGCACCAAATATGACCAGATACCTGAAAACAAACGTAATGACGTCCTGACCCGCACAGCCTTCCTGTCAGAAGACTTCAATGCAGAGGAGATCAACCTGGTTGGTGTTTCACACATTTTTGTATCATAAGAGAGGAACAGAAACAGCAAAGATTCACATTTCATAAGAACTCATTTGATGGGCTAGTTTTTTGTACAAAGTGAAATTAATTGCTTTTCTTATCCTTTCTTTTTCATGATTATTTATTGTGTTGTTTTTTCTTACCTGTGACTTATATTTAGGACTGCACAAACCCACGTTATTTTGCTGCTGGATCATCTAATGCTGTGAAACTGAGCAGATTTTTTGACAAAGTAAGATACATACTAAAACTATAACACTGTCACTGGCAGTTCTGTAGGTCACACATGCTGTTTCAAAAAGTGCTATGTGAAAGTTAGGTAGCAAATATTCTCTCTTTAATCTTGTAGAATTCTATAATTCAAAGGTTGAGATATAAACAAAGACATTCAAAGTGGTTTGATGTGAAATGGTGATTATAGGAACAGTGGGTTATGATGTCTACAATGCAAATTAAAGGTGGGTGATAGGGCAAAATGTCATATCACCCATGTTTCCTTCAGGAGGTTTTTTACAGTACACAATATGTCATGATATTTACTTAATTTTATTTAGACAAAATAAGCCTGTATTTTTAAAATACTATCAAAAACGATGAATTCAATTATTTGTATTCAACATGTTGATTTGTATTCAACACCAGTATCATTTGTATTCAACTTACTATGCCCCACTGAATCCACTGAATGAAACTGGACTAACCATGTTCTCTTTTTAATCAAACATGCAGTTGGGAAATGGTTTTAAGTACTGACAATCTCCATGATATGGTCAGAAAAGCACATTGTGACATATTGTGATTTATCACAGCAATAAATATTGCCATTTTGCCCAGTAAAGCTAGTAAATCTGCTCATGTCCTCTGATTTTTTTTTTTTATAATATACTTCAGGAAAAAATATATGAAAAGTACAAATATGTTATCTTTAGGGACTGTTTTTCCTTACAACACCCTGCATGTACCCCTGAACGGCCAAAACCTTCTTACAACTATCACAGATCAGTGTGTCAGTCATCAGGTGGCATATTCATATCCACCTCACGTTATAGCATGTAACATATAAAACAGAAGTGAATGTTTTTGGTGATTGTTTAATGTCATTCTAACACTTTCATAGGTTATAGAGAAGAGGTACTTCACCAGAGACCCCAGTCAGGTGAGAGTACGTCCTGATTATGGTTCAGTGTGTGGTACTGAAACATGACCTGCACAACCTGCGGTCACAAATGCATCATTTTTAAAAAATGAAAATTGTGGTTTCCACATCATGGCCTGTTGGCTTTTTGACCTGTAAATAATCTGTCGGATTATTTATCCAGATTATATCTGTACTAATCTATCAGAATGATTTTGCTCAACTATTATCAGTTGTTTTGATCTAGTTTTCTTGTGATGTATTGTTGTCTAATGTGTTTTTTTTTTTCCATCTTTGTTGTTTTGTTGTAGATGACGGGCTTTACAGACAGGAAGCGCTTCAACTTCAAGAGCCTTCACTATGACTGAACATGAGCAAATACCACAGAGGCTTGTGGCTTTAGTTCTGTTTGTCTAATGAACTTACCACCCCATCTCAGTTTCAGACATGCCTCTCACTACTGCAGGTTTGTCTGTGAATGTTTACCAGTACCATCACTTAATACACCACTAATAGAAAAGTTATGTACCATACATTTAAAGTAAGTTCATGAAAGACTCCATATATCTTTTTTGGCACCTGATATCTCCCCAAACTGCTAAGAAGGGGCCTGTATTGCCTACATTTGTGTTATGTAATGTATAAACAGTCAAATTTGACTTTTCCCATTCTCAGTTAAGAAAGGTTTAACATACTTGTTTCACATCTTCCTCAGAATCAGGATCACAGTTGTTTGCTGAACAGATGAAAATGAGTTATCTTTCTTTTTTATTGTTAATCATTGTAATTTATGCCATTTCATAAATTTGCAGTTTGCTATATTAACAAACTCAGAAGACTGTATTCATGTATACGTTGGTGTTGGCAAGCAACGTCAACAGATGAATAAAGACAGATTTATGATGAAATAGCTCTGCATTGAACATTTTTAAATACTGGCTTCTTTAGACATTTTGAGAATATTTTTTAAAATGGAAGTCTATTTGGATGGAAACTTTAATTTTTTTAAGTGAAATTGTAGGATTTGATTACCTTGTAGAGTATAAAATGCACTTGGTGGGAGGCATTCAGAAGAAGAAGAGAGAACATGTCAAATGCAGTATGTAATTTATTGGAGTGGTTAATGTTGTACAGGCAAATAATACTCTCAGTTAGATTGAATTACTTTCTTAATCCATGGTAAGAAGTAGGCTACCTTAATGTATATCTCTGGGAACTTGCGGTTTAGACAGTCATCAGGGTACGTATATGCAGCTATTCCCTTAGGCTCATGGTTACAGATAAGAGGACTCCCTGAATCACCCTGAGAGAGAGAGATAGAAAAGTAAAATATGGAAGTTAGTAAAAATATTATTTATGTAATTTTAGAAGAATGTTCTGAAATTTTGTTATGCTGTTTTCACACTATGCATTTCTGTATGGGACAAATGCTGCCTGCTGGTGAGTTTCCTGTGCTGATATGGAAAAAGGGAACCTGATCTGCACTGTAACTACCACTAATTAGCTTGCTTGACTATCTAGGTGGTATTTATTGTTATTAGTAATAAACACAGTGGGCTCCAAAAGGTATTTGGACACTTGTGCAACATTTAACAATGCAATAAAGGAATGGTTTGCCAAAAACATGAACAATTTTCCACTTGACATGTTTAGTGTCCAAATGTTGCTTTTTTTAATGCCACTGTTGCTAACACAATTGTTTTCCATTAATACACCCAACCCATTAAATTCAGCCTATTCACATCTTCATTAAGGCCGTGCAGACTTGCTGAATTGTGGTTTAGAGCACTGTGTGACTTAGTGTAAATGATAAAAATGAACAAATCTTCACTGTGTACATGACAAGTGTTCGCAGTTCATAATAAGTCACACTGTTCTCTAAATTACATCAACAAGTCTGTGCAACCTCAGTGAAGAGCACATGGGGCATTTCAAGTAATCTGGCTGAGCTAAGAAATCCAGCTGAAACAGTCACTGAACCAAAACCACAAGGTTAAACATTTCATGAAGTAACCTAAAGAACTTCATTAAATTCTACCAATGGTTAAATGTTAAGTATCCAAATACGTTTGGGGGCACTGTAGTAGATAAATTAATAAGTCATAAATAGTATTCCTCAACATTTGGCCTAACTGTAGCAACTGTTTTTAAAAAGACGCCAGAACATGTAGTGTGAACACAGCTTTAAGAGAGTGTGCTGTGGCAGACTTTAGTACCTGACAAAAAGCCCTTTTCCCATCCGATGCTGTGCAGATCATGCGCATAGAATCAAAATAATCCTTCCATAAATTCTTGCATTCAAAGTTAAACTGTACTTTGAGTGTGACTTCTTGCAGAACATTCGATGCTTGATGCTTGCCTGGTACTTTTATACCCCAGCCCGCTATAGAGCACTTCTGATTGGCAGGAATTGTCTCATTCTTCTTAGGAAGAACAATGACATCCACGTATTTGTTCATCTTGGCCTTGGTCTTCAGCTGGAACAGATTAAGGGGCATATTTACGATTAAGAGATGTGCTAATTACCGACAGTCTACCAACACTTTAAGGGTGGCCAGTATAGCAGGTTATCAACAAAGAAATTCCATGCAAATGAACATGGGCACAATTTTAGACTTAACATGACCATAATTTTTGGCTCACATGCTTTTTGTATAAGAGCCTCTTTCTGCCAGGTAGGAGAAGAAAATGTATGCATCTGTTCGACAGTTTGATCATGTTCAAACTATGACTCATAAAGTTGAAATATTGACTTGTTTTTCCTTATTTTAACAATAGGCATATTAGCATTTATTTTTTTTTCAATATGGGGGTTGCAAGACATTGTGAACCGAATACAGTTTAATTTCATACTATAATGAAAAATGATTTCTATAGTTTTATTTAATACAGTCCATGATATTCTTAAAAGTCACTGTGCAGCTCTCGGAACTGGACAATCTGGTTTGCTTACCCAATCTTGAACAGTTGATTAGCAAAGCTGTTGGAAATGGTAAGGTTTCTTAATTGAGTACAATCTTGATGGGAAATAAGTGTTGACGTTGTTTAACATGAGGATCAAATAACTTCACCCATGCTAATGACCCAAATGTATTAGTTACCAGAGTGAACAGAAAGCGTGAAGTTATCCAGCTTCTTATTCGAGTTTTCTGTTGCACCTTAAATGGAGCAGCAGCCACTAAGTGCCAATTCTACAAATAACAAAAAACTTGCTCCGTAGATATGTTAATAGCTACCAATTTACACCTCTATTTGGTTGTAGAGTCCACCTCTATTCGGTTGTAGAATCCACCAGTATTCGGTTGTGGACTTCGCAGTTTGCTGGAAAGGAACATGTGAAAAATTCCCTCTCACTCATCCCAGCCAGAGGAGTCACACTTTATATACAAATATATGATTAGATTTTAAATGAACTTGTAATGCTCAGTTCATTTAATATTGAGATATAGCCTTATAGTTTACGTTTTTGTTTACTTTTATACGGATATTGCACTTTTGCTGGCTTTTAAATACAACAGTGGAAATTACAAACAACCTTTTGGGAATTAACGTTGAAATTATGTCAGCATTTCTTTTGCAAAAGCAAACATCTGTGTATCATTGTACATAAAATAGGACAATTGAAATGATTTTTTTTACTTTTACTTTTTACATTTAAAATACACATTCATTTTCAGCTGGTTGGATGAGCTGAATTGAGCTCTGTGCTGAGTGTTTTTGGAAACCATGTAAAATAAAAAACCTGTTTAATTTCACCCAGGTTGTTTGGAAACTGTATGATTTTGAGCGTAAAAGTTTTCTGTGTGTATTACATCAATAGATGGCAGTGTCACTGCCCACATACAAACAGAGGTGTGTAGTAACTAGTTACATTTACTCAAGTGTACTTAATTAAAATATTGATTTCTACTCAAGTTGTTTTTTGGAAGGTACTTTTATTTGTGTAATAATTTAATGCAAGTATCAATACTTTTATGTGAGTATTGATTTAAACTACTCTACCCAGCTCTGCTTACAAACCACTGCACGCAGAAGCCACAGCACACAGGAACAAAGAAGTAGCACATAGCTTTAGAGCCTGAATATTTTCAATATGTGCTGGGTGCTGAAAGACCATTGCTCTTATTTAGTAAATTGCCAAAGCAACAGTTCACGCCAAAATGAAATCTGAGCAAAACTTTAGTAAATCTGAGCTGAGAGCTGGCACAAAAATCAACAAAAGCACCAGCTATAAGTATAGGTAGGAGACAGTAATACCTTCAGTAACATGATATCATAGCTCCTGTCATTCTGTGCCTCCTTGTATGAGGGATGCTTGATGTACTTCTCCACTTTAATTCTCTGCTGGCTGGATTCTTTCCGGCTGATATTATGAGCCCCCAGCAGAACTTCCAGGTGTTTTTTCCCAGATGATTCATATCCACTGCACAAACACAGGTTTCATCAGACTTACTGATCCTAGTTTGTGTAAACTATAGCAATGTTTGACTCAGGAATAAATTGTTCTCTTCAGCTGGTTCCTTTCAATTAACTGTTTGAACAAATTCACAGCTGAATCAAATTGAGCACTATGTAATTATTATAACTGTAACAAATTAACACGTTCTAACACTTCTAACTCTGTGAACTGTGAACAGTTCTGACTCAGTAAGTTTGTTTACACTAGCACATCTCAAATCAATCAAAATTATATTACAGTGAACTAAACTTACTTTAGACAGTGAGCTGAAGTCAGCACATAGTTTTTGGTGATGAGCATTCCACCACACTTGTGTTCTTTATTAACCTGAAAAGACACCATGTAGGGTCTGGAGTGAGGTTTAGCTTCTTTTCCACCAATAATTGCACTCTCCATTGTTCCTGAGAAAATAAAAAACGAGATACACAAAGTTACATTCACAGTTTAGCTCCGCAATTATTATAGGGACCTTATCAGTGACACTGGGCCTCATTCACAAGTATCTTCCTAAGTTTCTTCTTAAATGTGTTCTTAAGAAAGGTCCTAAGAAAAAGTCTACATCAGATTCATGACGTGTTCTTAAACCACAGAACTGTTCTCACATTTGTGCTCTTGAGTGTGTGTAGATTCTGTTGTTACCTAAGAACAAATCCCAAATAAGAAAACACTGACAAATATCAGAATCGTTGTAAAAACTGTGTAAGTGGGTTTTAAGAAGAAATGTCATCTTAAGAACAGTTGGTGAATGAGGCCCATTGTTCAGAATGCATATAATCTGTGCAGCTAGAGCACTGAAGAATGTGTAAGCAGGTTAAATTGTGTACAAAAACATAAAAACACTAATATATTAATAAATACATTACCAGACAAATGGAGGGCAGAAATGATGAGCAAAGACACAAAGAGAACCATTTTCCTGCAGAACTGACAGATGTGCGAAAAGGGTGAATACATTTCCCCTTTTTACAGACTTGCAGCCCACCTACAAACACCTCCTCTGCCCGCAAACACTTCCACACACATATATACTGCAGTGGGTAACTCTTTCAAGACCACAGTGGTGCAACATGGGTGAAATAGAGGAGGATATAAAGCTTTAATACCACATAAAAAATAATTCCATGCCAACTAGGGCCTGGCTGGTCACATCATGGATCCAAGATATTATTTAGTTTACTTCATGTGACAAATGCAAAATTTCAAAATCATGCTCCACATATTTTTTGAGTCAAGTCTGCCCCATTTGATTCTTTAATATTGAGTTAAACTGCATACAAAACGACCGAAGTGAACTATTGGAAAGGTATAAAAAGCAATGCTAATCTCAAAAATGACTGTGTTCATTCCCATAACAGGTTAGATTATTGGTAGATGCACATTTCTTTCATCTTTTAAACCTATGTCTTGTTAACATGTAACATGCTATAATATGCTTATAAGATAATATCCTTAAATGTTCGGACGTTGACAAAGTTATTGTTTTTAGCTGTTTCAAAGTGTTCATGATTTAAAAGTACAGACTATCAGCTTTAATTTGAGGGTGTTTACATCAAAATTGGGTAAACGGGGTAGGAACTACAACCATTTTCATGAACAGCCTCCCATTTTTAGAGGCTCAAAAGTAATCAGACAGCTCAGCTCTTCCATAGCCAGCTGTGTGTTATTCCCTCATTATTTCACTTACAAGTGAGCAGATAAAAGATCTGGAGTTGATTTCAAGTGTGGCATTAGCATTGTCTGTTGGCATTGGCTGAAAAATGAAAACAAACCCATCAGAAAGATAGCAACAAGGTGTGGCCAAATCAACTATTTTGTACATTCTTAAAAAATGCACTAGTGAGCTCAGAAACACCAAAAGGCCCAGAAAACAACTGTGGTTCATGACAGTAGAATCTACAGTTGGCCAGATCAATAACACCACATTAGAGTTTGCCAAAAACATCTAAAAGCCTCTACTGTTCAGGAGCATCATCTTATGGATAGATAAAACAAAGGTAAACTTGGACTATTGAGAAGGAACAGAACCATTTATAATTGAGGAGACAGGTTCAAATATGAATGGGAAACTTTGTAATGCTCAATAAGGCATCTTTTTACGTGGAAAGTCCTGCCCTTCAAAAAAATAGCCAATTTACTTGCTGGTTTAGCCGCTAGTTGGTGCTAGCAGGCTAAATGGCAAAACAGATCATAAGTGTAGCACTGAGACATTAATGTTAGTACTTTACAAAAGGTAGTTTCTACAAATCGTTACTTATCACTGCTATTGTAATTCAGTAAAAAACAGAAGGTTAGGCACTCTTCATACACTGGAAAGCAGTATTGGTACTGCTGCTGTAGCTAACTGTAATAGCTTTTAGAGCCACTGTTAGAGATTTGTTTCTGGGTAACTGCCTCTACAAGCTGTTGTATAATGTCAGCATGCCCTTATCATCCTATTATTGTGAAATAAAAGTGAATTAGAAGGAAAGATCATAGTTTGGATGTTTCCTGGTTTGTTAGTTAAAAGTGTGCTATAGTGTCCTACTTTAGTTAATTTTTCTCGTATAGGAGTATAACTACCTAGCACAGGGCACATTTTAACACAACCTTTTATATTGTTATACATGGTCAAGCAGTGTGTGCTTCTGGCCACATTACCACATTTCCTAGCCACGGTCTCCGACCAAAATTCAGAGCGATTCATCAGCGGTTTAAAGAAATCTGTGCCAGAGAGTGTTTTCAGGGCATGTGAGTCATTTTTTTCAAAACACGTTTTTTTCGGTTACTGAGCTGTTTGTGTAAATCACAAAATCAAACCTTATATTACTTTAATCACCATCTTGTTGCCTACAATGCAGCCTTGTTTTGAAGTGCTCATTAGGCTTAAGTAAAACCTCTGTACTGCAGGGTTAGTTGTTACACGACAATACAACTAAAACACCTTTAGTACATAAAGACAGATAAAATAAATTTTGTCCTTTTGTTTCATATGTTCACAGGAATTTTAAAATGAAAAAGTGAAAAAATCTGAAAACAGATTATCTTCTACTTTTTAGCATCTTTTTAGTATCTTTCAGAAAAACATGATTATTCCAACCTTAACAGTTTTAAAATTATTTCACAAAAACCAAAATGTGTTAGGTTGTGCCCCTCTCTCCCCTAAAACATCAGAAATGCTCTCAGTAAACCTCATTCAAGTGGTTAACATGTTGAGGATTAACATGCAACTAGTTAACCAAGTTATCTTCTAGTTAATCAACTACTGTCAACACAATGATCACTTTTATTGCTAACTTTCTGCTTTCCATCACTACTACTATGTAAACTACTATAAATTTGCATATTGTACATGGAGAAGGTTCAATGCTAGAGAAAGGCCAAACTATAGAACAGTACCAGTGACACATGCTGGTCAGCCCAGGCTTTGTCAGTCCCCTTAAAATTCTGAAATGTTCCATACCTCCTCTGCATTTACCCACTCTACTATTCATCTCTTCACTCATCTGCCTCTTGATATTGTCAGGTAAGACCCTTCCACCATTTCATTCTGATGTGTCGCTTCTCAGAAATAGCTGCTGCACTTTGCCCTGCCTCTGACTTTTAGTGTGTCAAAAGGCCACTCCGGACGCTACATGATGTCACTTCAGCAGAATGGAGATCATGAATGTGGAAGTGTTCTGATCAGAAAACACTTTCTACTGCCTGCAGCATACTTATAAGTCTTTTATTCTCCTAACCTGAAACTCAGCGTGACAGAACATTTCTACAATGATTTTATAGCTGACACAAAATGGACCACACTATGGCTCTTTGTTGTTTCACTGATCAGATGTATGGAAGAACACCCAAATTAGAAGACAAGTTTATTGGTTTAAATGCTGGTTTATGACTATACAATAATAATAAGTTGTCAATAATAATAATAAGAAGAAGAAGAAGAAGAAAAAGAAGAAGACGAATGTTAGAATAATAGAATTGGAAGAAATAAGAGAGGGCAAAGGACGACTGAGCTCAGTTATGATGCCTAGCCACATTTACTTAAATGTGTTTAAAGCATTGTCTATGGTAATTTCCCATATGTTACAGATGTGGTAGATCTAGATTAAAGGTGCAGTGTGTAAGATTTAGGGATCTATTAGCAGAAATGGAATATGGTACATAATTCCATGTTTTCATTATTGTATGATTACCCTTAACTACGAATCGTTGGGTTGTCGTTAGCTGAAAAAGAGCATTTCATATTTACATAAGGAGTGGGTCCTCCTCCAATGTGTTGCGCTGCCATGTCTCTGCAGTAGCCCAGAACTGACAAAATGTAATTTAGACTTGCAATATTTCATCCAATTGTTCTTCACTTTCCTGTGACAGACCTGTTTTATTGCTTTATGTAAATTCAGTAAGCAAATACTAGTTAATGAATGCATGTCGTAGCTTTAAAACGTGTTTAACAGAGCTGCATGTCTTTGCTGATTGTGTGATGTCATTTCTACATAAGGTTATAGAGAACAGATACTTAACCAGAGACCCCAGTCAGGTGAGAGTACATCCTGATTATGGTTCACAGTGTGGTATTAAATCTTCATGGCCTGCACAATGCAGCATTTCACTCTGAATAGAATCATGGTTTCCACAACATTGCACTTTCCTTTTGACCTGTAAACTAATCTCCATTTAAATTAATCAGAATCACTCCTGCTCAAAACAATCAAAATTGTTTTGATCTATTTTTGTGAGGTATTATTGTTGTCTTATGTGTATATGTTTTTAATTTCTTTTGTGTTTTTGTTTTGTTGTAGATGACGAGCTTAACAGACAGGAAGTGCTGCAACCTAATGAGTCTTCACTGTGACTGAACATGGGCAAACACCACAGAGCCTTGTGGCTTTACTTCTGTCTGTCTAATAAACTATGGTGACCAGACATTCCCGATTTCTGGGGACAGTCATTTCTGGAAATGTCCCTGTTTTTAGCTGTGAAATAAAAACACCCCGGAAAGTCCTTAGAAAGACCTGGCAGCACAGCAGACAGACAGACTTCTCACGTTGTGCTTGTTTTGGCCAGAGGTAACCAAGGGATTAAAGCAGGAGTGGGGATGCAGGACTTGAATCGTACTTGAATCTGATTTGTATAGGCATAGAATCTACTTGAATGTGGACTACCATGTGATCTACAAATTTTTAACTGTCACTTTTTCAGTCATCCATATATGACATATGTGGCCTAAGCCGCTAGACTTAGTGACATTTGACACCCTTTTAACTTAGCGACTTTATTTCTAAAAAGTGATGAGTGACAAATCTCGCTGGGGGAAAGCAATAAGTATAAATCTTTTATAGGATTATTGTAATTTATTCCCAAGTATGCTGACGATTTTCTTTATTGAGTGTTCCATAGTTGAACATAGCTTCACTTATCATGGTAGGCTTCTGACATGGTTTACAAAGTTACTTAGTCAGTACCCAATTTTATCAGCAGACATTCACCATAGTTTATTACGGTACAACAGTTACCATGGTCAAAATACATGAAACTGAAACTGTTCTCCCTTTGTAACAGTAGAGATACAGAGTAAGACCCCTTTTAGGCTTTTGGCACCTGACATCTCCCCAAACAGCTAAATTTGTGTTAAGACTTAATCTATAAACAGTCAAATCTCATAAGACATAAGAGATGTAAAATGTGTGTCTCATATCTACAACGTAGTCAGGCTCATGGTAGCTTTCCGAACAGCTGAAAATGAATTACCTTTCAGCAAAGACTTCTTGTTCTTGATCCTTGTCGTTCATGCCATTTCATAAATTTGCATTTTGCTATATTAGCAAACTCAGAAGACTGTACTCATATGTATGCCTTTGTTGACAAGCAACATCAAAAGATGAATAAAGACAACTTTATGACAATATTGCTTGGTATTAAGAAAGTTTAGTACTGCTTTTCTCACTTTGACAATGCTTTTCAAGGAAAAGTGTAAAATGTATGTTTAATAATATAAGTGAAATTCAAAGATTTGATTACCTTACAGTGGACAGAATGCACTTTTTTTATACCTACCATATATGAACATACGCTCTGGACATGCAATATGTAATTTATTGGAGTGTGGTTACTGTTGTACAAGCATATAATACTCTCAGTCAGACTTGATTACTTTCTTAATCCATTTTAAGAAGTAGGCTACCTCAATGTACACCTCTGGGAAATCGCGGTTTAGACAGTCATCAGGGTACGTATATGCAGCTATTCCCTGAGGCTTATTATTACAGATAAGAGGACTTCCTGAATCACCCTGTAGAGAGAGAGAGAGAGAGAGAGAGCGAGAGAGAGAGAGAGAGAGAGAGTTAAATATTCAGATAGTTATTTATATCCTGTCAGTTCTCAAACTATATATAATGTATGTAAAGGCTGTTTTCACATCAGGTGTTTTTGAATGGAGGAAATGAAATGCTGCCTGCTGGGGTGCATCTTGCACTGATATGGGGAAAAAGGAAGGTTCTGAAAACTCTTCTTGCTAATGAAAACTCTATTTTTAAAAGGTGCAGAAACAATAAAGGAACAGCACATCCAAGTCCAAGACTGGCTGGTGTTCTATATAGCTCCTCTAATGGTAAAGCAAAAATAAACTAAGAGGCTTATAAATAGCTTATATAATGAAATTTAATATTACAGATCACACTAACAGTGCAGTCATCAGGCGTGTCAAATAAGGAGACCTGAAGGAGCTCATCAAATATAAAATGGCAATAATCATATTCAATTGTATACGTTTTTATCAGTATTTACTCCAATACTGAAAATAGAGTTTAAAAAATTTAAAAAAGCATCCAAGCTAGTCTGTGTGCATCATGTACAAACTTCCCTGATAACCATGTAGTTTAGATGAGCAGTTTAGACCAACAGTTTCAAACTGAAGCTCATCCTTTCAGACAGTTCTGACCAAAAACAGAATCAGCTGAAAAGCAGACAGTGATGCGCTGTTTTTATTTTAGCTGTGGTTTTAATAAGATATTAGTATCTCACTATGCTGAGTTTCTGGACACAATGAATATTCTCTCACATACTCGCGTTTAGTGGTTGCACAGCCTGCTGAGCTCGCTTTTACACATCACACAGCAAAATGTCCTTTTAGACACTGTTAAGATGAAATATTTTCTTTTGTAAGATGAAGTATTTTTTTGGCCATGCACAACACTGTGTTGTGCATGGCCTGCTCTCTGTATTGTCCTCTTTCAATCACGTGATAAATGGGATACGCAACCCTCAAGCCAACCATCAATAACTTGATTCCAACATTTTTTGTATTTTTGACGTTATTGGTTATGAGGATTAGTTCTTGCAGCCCTAGTGCAGAAGAACGTTTTGTAATGTTGGTTGTGCTTTGGACCCCTTCCCTGATGAATCTCATGATTTTACGTGAGCTAAAAGAGTATTCAAAGAGAACTCGGTCAAACTTGGTGAAGGACGTGTATGTATGTAAAAGATGTAAGTAAATCATATACTATTGCTGTCATATCTATATCAGTACAATGTTGATTTTGCATTTGTGATCCGAACATTGAGTAGGATCTTTTCGAGCCTGTGTGTGACATTAATATGTTAAGACATATGACGTGGTCCAAAAAATTCCCAAGAAAATTACCTGAAACTTTTAAATTATCATGTGTTTATTATGTATTTTTTCTCCTGACACAGTAATGCTAATTCTTTCAGTTTTAACAAAAAAAGTGCAGCTTTAGGTATCAAAGTGAACATATTGTGAGATGTTCTAATGTGTAAAATTCCCCATCCAAATTCCTGGGCTATCGGCTATGTGTTTAGAAATCCCCCACACATCATTATAGCATTTTCTTTCATTCTGAAAGCTTATCAGAGTAGCCTGGGCCTAGTTACTGCTAGGACTGGACAGTCAATATCCAGAAGGGATTTACTGGTTTGATTTATTTGTGAAATTGCATTATATTCTTTTGGATATTATGGAATATCTAGTTTTTACTTCACAGTATCTTGCAGAATACAGTAAAGTAAAAAGTATTTTATTTCCACCTATTAAACTTCCACTTTGGTTGTTGGTTCCAAGAACCTGCTGAGCTGCGAACTGATTGGTTGGCTGATTAAAAAACAGTTGGCGTGACTCGTCACTTTTTTTTTGTTCTTTTTAAAAGGCACCAAAACGCCTAGTGTGAACTCAGCTATGTGGTGGGCTTAGGTACCTTACAAAAAGCCCTTTTCCCATCAGAGGCAGTGCAGATCATGCGTTTAGAATCAAAATGATTCTGCCATTTTGTCTTGCAGTATTTCTTCAACTGAAGCTTGAGTGTGACCTCTCGCAGAACACTCGATGCTTCTCCCTCATTTGGCACTTCCATACCCCAGCCTGCTATAGAACACTCCTGATTGACGGGAAGCTTCTCATTCTTTTTAGGAAGAGCAATGACCCCCACAGACTCAGTCAGGTTGGCGTCAGTCTGTAGCTGTAACAGATTCGGAGTCTGAGCTGAGAGCTGACACAAAATCATCAAAAGCACCAGATGCAAAAGGAGACAGTAATACCTTCAGTAACATGACATCACAGCTCAGTTTGTTCTGTCCCTTATTGTATGAGGGATGCTTGATGCACTTCTCCACTCGAATTCTCTGCTGACTGGACTCCTTCCTCCTGATATTATGAGCCCCTAGCACAACGTCCAGGCGGGTTTTCCCAGAGGGATCATAGTCACTGCAGAAACAGATCAACAGTCTTACTGATCCTAGTCTGTATTAACTGTATTGGGTGGCAAAATCTAACTGAATCACATCAAGCACAGTAAAGTGTTTGTCAGTGTTATAAGCTGAATACTGGAGTAATAAATCTTTACATTTTGGCCTCATATAATCATAACATCATGTACCAAATTAACAGTCTGTTTTGCTTTTAATAGCATTGGGCAAATATGACAAAACTATAACATTACTACAGTTTGACATTTTCTCAGTACATAATATGCATCAAGATATTTAGTTGAAAGTTGAAACAGCCAAAAGAACCAGTGGATTTAACATATTTAACAGTGTTACATTCAAGATTGATTTACATCATGATTATAAGATTTATTTTATTTATGTATTTTATTTTGTAAAAATACATTTAGAAAAGCTAAACCTACTTGCTGGGAGTTTTATCGGGGAGAGCTGTCACTGTATGCGAGGGACAGTAGTGTGAGTAGCTGACGTATACAGATTGCTAACTCTGATAGATACTTCAGATACAGATAGATACAGATCTGACGCTGAATTTAGTCCCACCCAACTTAAAACTGAACTGAAGCAAACAGCAGAACAAATAATTTAAAAAATCTCTCAACAGAAAACACCAACAGAATTCTGTCTCGGACAGTTCATTGTTCTTACATCACAAAAACAACAGATAATTATAATTGAGTAGGGACTTCAGTACTATTATTAAATCCAATTAACTTGTAATTATGATCTCTTTGTAATGAAATATGTAGTTGGTCGGTGTTCTTTAAGTGCTGACAGTATCCACCATATGGTCAGAAAAGTGTATTGTGACATAATTGATTACAATAACCATAAATCATCATCATATTACCCACCCCTCATTCCCTTTCCGCGTTCAATACTACCTAAAAGTTGTTTTTAGGTTAAGATGCAATGTAATGCTTACAGATATGCAGTACAAATCTGGTAGTGCTGGTAAATGCAAAGTTCTCTATGCATGCTCAACAGCGTTGTGCATGCGCAGTGCAAATCGGGTAGGGGGCGCAGATCATTTAGACACCGCATACTTCAATTTTTGTCCAGAGTAGTAGGCCATCCAGGTATGTTAGTTGTACTGAAGAAATACATGTTGGTCACATACTGCATACTTCTTACTACTTTTGGGCATAAGGCAATTCAGCAAGTTAGGCAAATTCCTAGACATGGGAGGCCCAAGGTCCCCAGCCTCTGCTCCAAAATGTTTTGATTTTCATTCCGGTTCATAACAGTATCACCCAGAAAATGAAAGAGACACTTCTACCTTTGCAAACGTAAAACCACAATTCATATTTCAGACAAAATGGTGCTACATATAGTAAATATTTTTGCATTTTCTTATCAGACACTGGACAGCCCACATGCGACAACAAGAGTGGCCTTTAACACGCTCAAGAGAGACATTAGCGACTTGTCGCCTCCTAATGTGGACATATGGTCATTGTAACTGCATATAGTAAACAGACGTCAAACCTACTTCATTTTCAACTGCCAAGCACATCATTTACTTGGCCTGAAACCGCCGAAGTTTCCCCATAAGGGGGAGCTGTTAGCTCTAACATCGGTGTAATGTGGATCAATCAAAGAGAGAAAACTCTCTTTAGAGTTAGAAAACTAACAGGATCTCATGAACACATGTTAGTTAATAGCTGTAGCACTGCTGCGTACAGAATAAAGTGAGTATTTTACAGATGACACACTATGTGCTCCTGGTTATTCATAACCACATTAAATGTTCTCACATTTACAGTGTGAGTCTTTAGTTCTTTGTGAAAGTAAGCAAACTTACTCTAGACAGTGGGCTGAAGTCAGCACATAATCTTTTCTGATGAGCATCCCACCACACTCATGTTCTTTGTTAAGCTGAAAAGACACCATGTAGGGCCTGGAGTGAGGTTTAGCTTCTTTTCCACCAATTATACCGCTCTCCATCCCTCCTGAGTAAATAAAACCAAGGCACACAAAATACGTTCAGTTTACGTATGATCAGCTATGCAGACAGAGGTCATAATCGTGTTACATTGTGTACAAAAATATTGAGAAAAAACATGAATCTATTAATACATTACCTGACAAATGGAGGATAAAGATGATGAGCAGAGACACGCAGAGAAACATGTTTTTATGTTGCACTGTTAGAACTGTGAAATACACAGTTCACTTTCTTAAATTCATGCAGTGCAAGTACATCCTCCCCCCCCCCGACCCATTCACACATACGCATGTTGCTCTTTCCACTAGACCACATGGGTGCAAACTTTCAATACTTCAGAAAAACAGGGTATTTTGGAGGATTTTAAGGTGACTTAAAACTTCAATGCCATTTTTTTCCATTGATAAAGGGTCTTTACATTGGCAACATTTCAAAAACATTTGCCTTTTATTTACATTTACAGCATTTAGCAGTGAATGGTATCAATGTCACATGCTGGTCACTCATGGCTTTGTTTTACCTCACCCCCTTAAGAAAACCCCACATGTTCCATATCTCCTCAGCATTTAACCACTCTACTACTCATCTCTTTACTCCTCTCCCCCCTTACCTGTCAGGTAAGACCCTTATACTATTTCATTCTGATGTGTTACTTCTCAGAAATAGCTGCTGCACTTTGCCCCACCTCTGAATTTTGAGTGTGGAAGTCCACTCTTGACCGTGCATGATGTCTCTTCAGCAGAAAAGAGATCAATAGTGTAAGTATTCTCACTCTTTTTGCTTTCTTAGCCTAATTCTTAGTCTGACAAAACATTTATACAATGATTTTATAGCAAACTGCCTCTAAAAGAAACACGCCTGACGTGTGGAAGGACACCCAGAACAAAGGTACACCCAGAACAAAGGTACACATTATTTATTCAGTGGTGGTGATAGGAACCACATGGCACAATGTCTACAACACATATAGAAATGTCCAAAAACATATGCTAATTCTGAAAAAAAATAACTTTTTTTGGTATAATTTTGACTTACAGCACTCCCCATATAACTCTGCCATGAACAGATGCCATGAAAAATAAATTATAGGCCAAAATCTTATCTCAAAACTATTGTAAAACAATATCTCAGGCATTTGGTGAGTTTAAAAAACATTTTACATACTATTTTACACAGGCCACAATTCATTCATCATCTTTAACTGTAACGCCACTTGTATTCACGATCACATTCTTTCGATTATTACCCTAAGCTCATGATCATAGGTGAGGGTTGGGACGTAGACCGACTGACCCTCTTAACCACTACAGTCTGGTACAATGCCACCCACCGGCCTCCAAACATAATACCCTCCTGACCTAGGCTATGCCTTGACACCCTGTCCATGAATATCACAAACAGGAGTGGAGACAAGGCACAAAAGAGTCCAACACTCACACTGAATGAGCTTAACAAAACACTTGTAGACTGGGTTGGCAATCTCCCATGACCCCTCAATAACCTGCGAGAGGGTGAAAAGCTGGTCCATTCTTCCACGGCCGGGACGGAATCCGCTTTGTTCATTCTCAATCTGAGGTTCGACTATCATTCGGAGTCTCCTTTCAAGCACCTTGGTATAAACTTTCCCAGGGAGGCTGAGCAGTGTGATTAGTTGGCACACACCCTCCAGTCCCATTTCTTAAAAATAGGGACCAACACCCCAGTCTGCCAGTCCAAGGGTACTACAGTCCACAATGTTATGTTTTATTTTTCCTCCCAATACGTAAAGTTCAGCAAACAAACAGTAATTGAGCATTAAAATGTGCAGAGGTGTGTTCACTGTAAAGAATGTGCTAACAATTATTTAATTAGAAAATCATCAAAATATGTAATTTGACCAAGGGTGCCCAAAATTGTCAAACAACTACAGTTTTTAGAGGCATTAAATGCTACAGATGTCTGGTTCCTATCACCACCACTGTGAGCAATCTGTCTCAGCAAGTTTCTCTAGATCAAACCACTCTGAATGAGTTCGAATGAGGCATGTTATACAATCTTGATAATGTAAAGAAAACAATAAAAAGATCTTAATATTAACAGGTCATATAATGGAATTCACCTTTAGATCATTAATTTAGGTTTAAACCAGTATTCTCCAGTGAGTGTTTTATATACAGTATCTTTAAATGAAGATCTTCACAGCTCTCTATTGAATTGAAAAAAAAAAAAAATCAACTAATAATAAATCCTCTAGGATCCTGTAGTGCTGGTCAGTGGATGCACTAAATAAAGACACCTTTTCTATAGAGATCATCATGTCCAAATGAGGTTGCCTGAACTAGTGCTGAGTGCAATGTGGTGATATGGTCAATTTACATTAAAGTATAACATTACATACACTTTTTTTCACTACTGTACATCTACATAGCTTCACTTTTTGAATCGGGTACACCTATATAGGTGCTCTTTGAGAGTATACAATCACTGACTGTAGCCTGTCCATCAGTGGAAAGGGACCATGATAGGACCACCACTGACCAGATATTACATGGTAGTGGAATGTCATTGTGTAGTGCTTGGACTGGGATATCAGCCAGATTAGTGTTTTGGGGTTTTTACACGCCTTAATGTCATGTCACTGCTGAGTTGAGAATACTGTGTTTAAGGCATGACTCACACCAACTTTGCATGAAAAAAAAAGATCTAACTGTGCACCAACATAGTAGAAGTGACTAATAAAGTGGCAAGTAGGTGTACATATCATTTGAAACACAGTAATGCCGTGGTGCTGTTTTTTATATGTACTGTATAGTACTGTGGGTTGATGAAATGATGGCAAGCTGTCTTTGTCCAATGGCTGTGATACTGCCACCACCATGTTTCACAGTTGGGATAAGGTTCTTATGCTGTAATTAAATGTTTGGTCTTTGCCATATGTAACATTTCTCTTTTAAGCCATAAAGTTTGGTCCAGCAGTCTGGATCATGCAGGTTGCTTTTAGGAAACTTTAAGCAGGCCATAAATCCTGGTTCCATAAATCCATAAATGCTATTTTGATTCAGTGCTTGCCTAATGGTGGATCCTTGCCTAATGGTGGACTCATGAACATTAACATTATCCAATGCATCTTTAGATATTATCCTTTCTTTATAATCTCCCAGAATATTATATGCTTGCTTTTTGAGTCATTTTTGTCGGAATGCCATGCCTGAGGAAGGTAACAAAGGTAACAATGGTGTTGAGAAATTGTTGTATAATTTGACAATTGAGCATTAACAACTACACTTTTCATTTCTTGAGAAATATCCTTTGACCAAGGCATGGTGTGCACTCACAAATGTGTGTGGTGAAGACCAGACTGAGATAGTGAAGACACAGGTCAACATTTTATTAATAGAGTAGACTCACCCACAGTCATACATGATTGTCATCTAATTAATCGAACGTCTTGTTCCTAACTGTATTGATAATTCAAGAGGTTCACAAACTTTTGCCCACAAAGACTTAATTTTTAATGAAGATTTAATGTTGGTTCACTTTGTTTAATAAATGAATGAAAACTATGTGACTGTCATTCATGTATCTATGCTGTTTTATTTAGGTCTTTCCTACCTGTAGAGCTCCCCTCATTGTAAAGTTCCACAAATGGGTCATAAAAATCCATTCAGTGTTTCAATGTATGCTACTGGTTACGTAGTACAATCACTATTACTTCTTAAGTACTTAGTACTACTTCTTCAACAAACATAACCACAAAACCACAAACACACACATGCACACACACAATATTACAGCCATTATATCATCACTATGTATCTTATTTTTTGTTGATTTTTTTATTTTTTGACATTATTTGAACATGGCAGTTGTCATTTACACTGTGTAAAACAATTCATAATGAATGGATCAATAGAAATGCTCCAAAATCACTTGCAATAAAGCTCCTTACACTGATTTCCATTAAAGTTAAGACTCTTTTTGCATTCTCCTGTAAAGTTACAGTTTTTGAGATACTTGATTTTTTTTTTTGGACTGCAATTTTGTAGTATTCATACTCAAAACAGTCTACACTTTACAAATGGTTTGTCAGATCAACTTGGGTCAAAAAATCTAATCATCTCAACTTTTAGGAGCTATATCATCCTTAGGCCTGTGTGCAGAATGAGGCATCTTGCCAGGAGTGAAGTATTGCATGATCAACAGTGAGAGCTGCCTTGTAAAACAATGAGGGTAAAGATGTGACTATTAAATGATGTCAAATGTTTCAAAGAAAAAAGACATGTTAACCTAGAAGTTCACACATCCCTGTTCTGCCGTTTGACCTGAAAATGTCAACTACGAGGTTTTAATTTAATGGTGTTTTTCAGTCTGCCCTGTTTTTGTGTTGTGTTACAGGACAGGAAGTGCATCAAATTTGAGAACCTGAGCATGGGCAAACATCACAAAGGCTTGTGGCTTTAGTGCTGCTTGACTAAGAAAAACCCACCGCCCCATTTCCGTTTCACACAGAAACCCTTTAAACTCTTATGTTAGTTTCTACAAACTCAATTCCAAAACAGTTGCGACAGTATAAAAACCAGAAAGCAGTGATTAAGAAGTTCTCTTTGAGCAATATAAAATTAAAAACAGTACAAAAACACTTTGATGATTTACCTTATGAACGTCATTGTTTTTTTTTTGTAAGTATATGCTCATTCCAAATATGATGTGCGCAACAAGGTTCACTTTTCAGACTACAATACACGTTAGAACCTGGCATGGGTCCATTTTACATGAACTTGAGCCCAGACAAGTCGACAAACTTTGGGGCCAACGATGGGCCCTGGCCATTTAAAGGGTTGCCTGGGTATTATTCTAGGGCTGTGTATTGGCAAGAACCTGGTGATATGATAAGTATCATGATACAGGGGTTATGATTCAATATATTGCGATATATTGCTATTCTGTAAGCAAGGAGATATACTGTGATTTTTTAAACTAATTTTAGAATAACACACCACCATATGCACACAATCTGAGTAAATGAAAAAGTCTAATGGCTGAAGATAGACTACAACACTGCCATCTAGTGATTGGGGTTTAAACACAGCACAAAATGAACCACTGTCTGCCACAAATCTTTGCATGTAAACTATTAATAAAAAATCGATACTGTGTTTTTGAGAATCGATACAGTATCATAAAATAGAATATTGTGATACTGAAGTGTATTGATTTTTTCTTACACCCCTATTATTTTCTGAGGCAGATTCTTCAAGGTGACAAAACAAAATATAGAAAACATCTTTCATCCATTCAAAGCATCATTTATTTTTGGGGTTTCTTTGCATAAGAAAAATATAAGTGTTTTTCCACTTTCTAACCTATGATATTTTTAATCCATGGAAAAAAGTAGGATATCTTAATGTATACTTGTGGGTACTTGGGGCTTCTACAGTCATAAAGGTAGGTATATGCAGCAATTCCTCGTGGTTTGTTGTTACAAATAAGAGGACTCCCTGAATCACCCTATGGAAAAAACAGAATAATGCGTAATTGGTTATTTGTGTACTGTTAGTGGATTGCTCTGAAAGAATACTGAAATTGTCATATTGTAATACCTGACAAAAAGCTTTTTTTCCATCTGATGCAGTGCAGATCATGTGCTGAGGGTAAAAATATTTCTGCCATATCCTCCTGCATTCAAAGTTAAACTGTAGTTTCAGTGTGACCTCTTGAAGAACATGCGATGCAGATGTGTTTGGGGCTTTCATACCCCAGCCTGCTATAGAACACTTCTGATTGGCAGGTATCTTCTTATCCTTCTCAGGAAGAGCAATGACATTCACAAACTTGTTTATTTTGGCTTTGGTCTTCAGCTGTAACAGATCAGATTTACCTTTGACTAACTGGTGTACAGTACGCAACCAAAGCACTAATTGTGTAAGGAAGTTGTAATACCTTCAGTAGCATGATGTCATGGTGGTACTCCTTCTGTTTGTATGAAGGATACTTGATGCACTTCGTTACTTTGATTCTCTGCTGGAAAATCTCGTGTTTTTTGAGGTTGTGAGCTCCCAGGACCACTTCCAGCATGCTATTCTCAGAGCACTTAATGTTGCTGCAATCACAGTTGATGCCAAACAAATATTAGATCATACAAATTTCTCATGGTGTCTTTAATACTACATTGGTGGTCAAAAAGAATTGCTCAGATGCCCAAACATTGATGCCAGTTTTTTTAAATACTCTTGTTTTGTACCTATGAAATCCACCTGCCTAAAAGGTCTGCTAGGTGTAAACAGACTTTGGCCGGTTTTTGTTCATTCAATTGGTTTTTGGCCAATTTCTGTCCAGAAGACTTGTGTTGACCAGATGTTATTTGGGTGGTGGACCATTCTCAACACAGCAGTGACACTGATGTGGTGATAGTCATAGTCATAGGGCAGAATAAATGGCTAAATGCTAAATAGACTATCCTACATGTATTAAACAACAGACAGGTTTCTGTTATAACACATGAAAAAGGAATACATCCAGAATACATTGAAAATGCATGCTCTTAAGAGTTTGATAATAAAAAACCTTAATATTACTTCTACAATAAGATATTCGACAAGAAACTACATTACAGGAAGAATTTATGAAATGTTAAAACTAGAATTTTTTTACTGATTTTTGAAAAACATATGTCCATTTTGAATTTGATGCCAGCAACATGTTACCAAAAAGATGACATGGAGGCAAATAAAGACTGGTAAAGTGGTGTAATGCTAAAAAACACCCGGTAGAACATCTCGCAACTAATTAGGTTTGTGAAAGACTGCACAGGTAAATAGTGCAAGAATTGAAGAACAATTTTTTCGTAGTAAAATAGCAAATAACTTGTCAGTTTCACCATCTATGGTAAATCATATCATTAAAAGGTTCAGAGAATCCAGAGAAATCTTTGCATGCAAGAGGCAAGGCTGAAAACCAATATTGGCTGGCTGTGATGTTCAGGCCCTCAGGTAGCACTGCATTAAAAAAAAGACAACTCTGTAGTGGAAATTACTGCATGGCCTCAGGAACACTTCTGAAAACCACTGTCTGTGAACACAGTTTGTCACTACATCCACAAATGCAAGTAAAAGTCTATCATGCAAAGAAACCACATACAAACAGAATCCAAAAATGCCACTGCTTTCTCTGGGCCCAAGCTCATTTCAGATGAACTGAGTGGAAAAGTTTTCTGTGGTCCAACAAATCAAAATTTGAAATTCTGTTTGGAAATCATAGATGCCCTATCCTCTGGGCTAAAGAAGAGAGGGACCATCCGGCTTGTTATCAGCGTACAGTTTAAAAGCCAGCATCCATGATGGTATAAGGGTGCATTAGTGCACATGGCATGGGTGACTTGCACATCTGTGAAGGCACCATTAATGCTGGACAATACTTACAGGTTTCAGAGTAAACTATTCTGCCATCCGTTTTCAGGGAAAGTCTTACTTATTTCAGCAAGACGATGTCAAACCACATTCTGTACGTATTACAGCAGCATGGCTCTTTAGTAAAAGCATGTTTAACTGGCCTGCCTGCAGTCCAGAATGGTCACCCACTGAAAACATTTGCTGCATTATGAAACAAAAATATGAGAAAGGAGACCCCAAACTGTTGAGCAACTGAAAACCTATATCAAGCAAGAACGGGCAGTTAGTCTCCTACTTTCCAAATGCTTACAGAGTGTTGTTAGAAGAAGAGGTGATGCAACACAGTGATAAACACGCCCCTGTCCCAACAAGCGTATTGTTGACATCAATTTTAAATTACGTATATATTTTTTCAAAAAACAAGAGTCTTTTTTTTTGTTTTAATGTGTTGTCTTTGTACTATTTTCAATTAAATATAAGGTATAAATTATTTGCTCATCACTGCATTCTGTTTTTATTTACATTCCCCAAGTTTTAGAAATGGGGTTGTAACTCCACTGCTGGTGCTGGTGTACATTTACAGATTGTAGCCCCTCTGTTGAAGGACACTTTGTTTTTGCCATCCTCTAGTCCTTCATCAGCGTCAGTTTTTGACCAAAGAGTCTCTCTTAGCTAGACATTTTTATGGGTTGGACCACCCCAAACCTAGCAGTGACACTGATATGTGTAAAAAGCCTCAGCAACACTGCTGTGCCAGATAAATTCATACAAACACCAAATATACTATCTTGCCGCTCAGTCAGTGGTTGTTCTATGGTGTTGGATGTTAGATGACTTAATTGACGTTTTTTAAGCATTCCATCATAGATGCTAGAGGAAGCATTATGAAATAAACATTCTTAGTGGTTTATTTCTGTCTTTTTTCATTGTGTTTATCATTACATGAAGAAATGTGTGAGCAATTCTTTTTGACTGCCAGAGTATATTAAAGTGAATAAACTTACTCCACACAGTGAGCTGAAGTCAGCACATAGTTATTTTTGATAAGCATCCCACCACACACGTGTGTGTTGTTTAGCTGAAGAGACACCATGTAGGGTCTGGAGTGTGGTTCAACTTCCTTTCCTCCAACAATACCACTCTCCATCGCTCCTAAGAAAATAATTAAGCATTTACAACATTTATATCACTTCGAGGTGCAACTTTAATACAATAAAGGCATTATCAGTAAAGACAGTTTATCAGAGGCCTCACAAGAATTTAAGAAGAAAGCTATTGTTAGCATTAATAAGAGAGAAAGCTACAGTTATCTCTGCGTTCAATTAAACTGAGGATTAAACAGGGATTAAAAATTCACCGTCTGCACATCACATCTATAATCAACAACAGTAAAAAGAAGTATTATGATTTTCTTTTCAGTGAAAAGTTTGTTAGTTTAATACATTACCAGACAAAGAGAGGACAGCAAGGATGAGCAGAGGCAGGAACATCGTTTCCCCTATCTGTGTACTTTTGTACGTTTTTTAAAAAAAACACCATCTCCGCTTAAACATTCACACACACAAATTTACACCTTCAACCATACAGGATGCATGCAAAATTGCAAGGAACTCACACACATGGGGGTCTTTGGTGGGGTTTGAGGTGAGATATATGACTCAAAACGAAAGTAGAGGTGAGTGGAAATTAAGCAGTTGGTGAGCAGTTGGAGAAGACATTGAAATTATGCTTAAAGATTTTTTTTTTGTCAATAATTTTCTTTTTAAATCTACAGCAATCATTGTACAAACCCAATTCCAAAAACACTGAGATGTAAATGCAAATTAGAAGAGAAAGCAGATTTATAAACAGGTATTTTACAGGTTTTTACTGAAAACATATAACAGATATTTAATATTTTACCATATCAACTTTATTGATTTTTGTAAATATATATTTCTACAAGTAAACAGATGAAAAGGTAGCAGGTGATGCTATCATGATTGGGTATAAAAGGAACATTCACAAAAGGCTCAGTCACCACTTTGCAAAAACTGTTTGAGCGAATATTCCAACAGTTTAAAAACCAACATACTTCTGTAATGAATATATCCACATGGGCTCAGGAATACTTCAGGAAACCCTTGTCAGTAAACACAGTTCATCACTGCAAATACAAATGCAAGTTAAGTTTCTACTATGCAAAGTGGAAACCATATATCAGTAACATTCAGAAACACCATGACTTCTCTGAAGCTAAAGACTTGAAGGAAAAAGACTGACTGATGCAAAGTGGAAAGTTATGCTTTAGTCTGACCTTTGAAATTGTTTTTGTGAAATAATCATGTTCTTCAGGCCACAGAGGAAAAGGACCATCCTGATTGTTCAAAAGCAACTGTCTGTCATGGTATGGGTCTGTGTTAATGCCTATGGCATGGGTAACTTGCACGTGTGTGAAGACAACATTAAGGCTGAAGTGAACACACATTTTGGAGCAATATATGCTGACATCCAAAAGACACCTTTTTAGGGACGTCCCTGCTTGTTTCACCAAGACTAGGCCAAGCCACATTTTGCATGTGTTAGAACAGCATGGCTATACAGTAAGAGAGTGCAGGCATTAGACTGGCCTGTCTGCAGTCCAGACCTGTCTCCCATTGAAAACATATGGTGTATTTCAAAGCACAATATACAACAATGGAGACCCCAGACTGGAAAAAGTCCACTTTCACAAATACGACAGTTAGTGTCCTCAGTCCCTAAACAATTACTGATCATTGTTAACAGGAAAGGTTATGTAACACAGTGGTAAACATACCCCTGTCCCAACTTGTTGCAGATATCAAATTTAGAATAAGAGTATATACAAAAAAAATAATAAAGTTAATTAGTTGAAACATTAAATATCTTTTCTTTGTACTGTTTTCTATTGTCTGTTTTTATTAACATTTTTCCTACTGTCCCAACAGTTTTGGAACCGGGTTTGTATTAGGTACTCATACAACTGTGCCTAGCCTGACATAGCTTTTATGGCATCACTGTTGATCAGAGGTTAACTGATAATAGCTGATCTGTTCTGACAACAAGGCAGTTCTTGTCTTTATATTTTGTGCATTTATGCACAGTTTTAATATTTTAATTGACTTATTTTCTGAATGATCCAAACTTCTACTTTAATTTCTTCTAAAACATGATAAAATATTCATACAGTTCATAATACAGTGCCAAGAAAAAGTATGTGAACCCTTTGGAATTATCTGTATTTACGTATGAAGTCATCTTTAAATATGGTCTCGTCTTTGTCTAAGGTACAATAAAGAACAAACAGTCTGTTTAAGCTAATTACACAAAAATATGGGTAACACTTTCTTTGAAGGGTGTCTACATGACACATTCATATCACCTTACATAAACACTTCATAACATGTTCATGAATGCTTAAATCAACATTCATAAACTATACATGTTTTACATGATATTAATATGGACTCCTATGTCATTTTACCAAAAGATGTTTTTCAAAATAAAAGTCCTCATTTTATTTATTATTTTCAGTGAAACTCCTCGTTTCTGGACTGTCAGCATAAACTGACCTGGCTTTATCCCTTTGAACAGAAAGTGTTTTGACACTTTTTGCCTAGACTTTCAACTTTTTTTTTCTCAAGCATTTGTATTTTGCAATACACTATTCTTTCTGCTTTTTACGCTAATTATTCATATATAAAATGTACTGTTCATTCAACACTATAGGTAATTGTGGAAAATGTTACTTAAACTAAGTTTAACTTTCTTGGGGTAAATGATAACACTGTTATCCCAATTACTTTGGAGGTTTTATTTTTAGTGATGTTCTTCCTCACTTACGGTTCTGGAGAAGGCACAAGTATAACTGTGCATTAGTTATCCTGTGTAACTGAGGTTAAATGTGACAAGCACTGTTATCACAAGGAATGATTCCTTTTTTGGCATTACTTCAAAGTAAAATCAAGTAGTGGCTCTTTGACTTTCCTCACTCAGGGTGCTGATAATTTTGTAAGAAATGTCCTTTATAAATTTGCTTGCTTTGCCTTCACCATAAACGTGATGGAAGTCACGTTATCCTCACTAAAGTGCATGTTACATGAATGGAATGGATAAGTATTATGGGCCTGTCCCACCACCATACAAAGTTTGAGACTTTAAGTTGATTGACTGTTCATAGCATATTTATGAGTAATTCACTGTCCATATAGTAAAGTGACATGCAAGACAACATTCATAAGTGATTCATAGCATTTTAAGGAGCTGTTAATATACCATAAAGTAAAGTGACATGCAAAGCAACATTCATAAGTGATTCATAACATTTTAAAGAGATGTTTACAGACCATGTGTATAAATAGTGATAGTGATTTACAATTAAATATCTACAATTATTTTCCTTACCTTTGCAGCAAGACCCAATGACTGTGAAAGGAGTCAATAAACACCACAAGTAGGAAGGTCCTTTTTTTTATTGGCAAGACCTCTGTTCAGAACAGGCACTTGAACATGCTGCTTTAACTCAAATCAGGAACCTACAAACTCTTCTGAACATGGAACTGCAAAATACAGATGTGTTCAATAAAATCTTCAACTCTTTTCTAAAACGAAAAATAAAACACACCACCTCATGTGGCCATTACTTAAGGGCATTGCCTTCACTTTGCTCCTTTTCTTCTTAGACTGAAATTATTTTAAATTCTCTGAAAAACAAAACAAAAATATGAAGAAAATAAACAAAACGACACAAGTCACTGCAAGAATCTGAAGATATCATGAACCTGGCACTGCTGCTGGTTGTCTGTCCTCTTCTGGCTATACAAGGATCAAACAGGAGCAGTCAGATGTGTGGAACTCTACACGTACAGGATGAGCCTATTTATACTGGAAGCGCATGAACGTTATGTTAGTGGGCTAGACAGACTGCCATAGCAGAGGTATGATATATAACTAGCAGTACAGCAGTAAAATTAGCTACTTTACTTATGATCAGTAACTGTAGCCAAGAAACTTTGCTAACTAGCTAGCAGGCTAACGCTACCTTACATTAGCTATTAAAATGCATCAGGCTAATGTTAACGTCACCTAATTAGCTAGATTACATGACTCAGTTAAGCCCCAAAGATTAACAGACCTTATGCGGCTCTTGATAACAACATTCTTTTTTTTCTAACTTAAATAACTGATACTGATTTAACTTAGCTTACTGTTCTGCGGCCGTGCCAGTCGAGCTGAAGTAGTGGGCTTAAATGAGCATTACTTATGACGCACAGCAGTGCGATGCGGAGTGATACGTTAAACAAGCTAGTCCCAAACGCAAGGTGCACTTAAAACACTCGCTAACGTTTGGCTAGTGAGGTGGCCTACACCAGGGGTCGGCGAAGTGTCAACAAAAATCATTTTACTATCCTGGCTGTAATATGTCTCAGTATGTGCTAATGTGGTAGTATGGGCTAAAAGTATATAAACGAAAGACTTACTTTGCTCTGCTTTAACCTTTAGCTCAGCTATAGCCGCATGTCTCGCATCTCCACCTCGAAACTTTTCCGAAAAGTAAAATAATCTTGTAAAAAAAGTAAAGTAATTCTTGGAAAATGTCTCTCAAAGTTCGTTTTTTACGAGGCTGAAGACGCTTCTCGTTCGAATTTACCCGTTCCACCTTAAATGGCGCCTGAGGTGCCAGAATGTAACTTCTGCAGCATTTAAGGTGGAACGGGTAAATTAGAAAAACAAGCTGGCGAACGAGAAGCTGATTTCGGCCTCGTGACTTTTCAGTATTTGATAGTTTCTCGTTACAGATTAAATATATCGGGATAGTCCATTCGTATCCAAATTACCGATGTTTGTCTTAAATCTTTCCCTTCGCTTTTTTGTTAGCTAACTTACTAGCTAGCTGGGCAAGACTGTTGACTGTCCTGCTGTGATCAGACGTCTGCAGGCCTGCAGGGTTAAAGGGTAAATTAGCAGATATAGGCTATATTAACTCCAGTGTTTTAGACCATTTATAATTGAAACTGTGTTGAACGATCAGCAGAGCTTTATTTTACTGTAAAGGAGGATTACTTTATTTTTGCCTATTTTGCAGTTCCATGTTCAGAAGAGTTTGTAGGTTCCTGATTTGATTTTGAGCAGCATGTTTAAGTGCCTGTTCTGAACAGAGGTCTTGCCAATAAAAAAAAGGACCTTCCTACTTGTGGTGTTTATTGACTCTTTTCACAGTCATTGGGTCTTGCTGCAAAGGTAGGGAACATAATTGTAGATATTTAATTGTAAATTACTTTCACTATTTATACACATGGTCTGTAAACACTCCTGCTATGAATCACTTATGAATGTTGTCTTGCATGTCACTTTACTATATGAACAGTGAATTACTCATAAATATGCTATGAACAGTCAATCAACTTAAAGTCTCAGACTTTGTGTGGTGGTGGGACAGGCCCATAATACTTATCCATTCCATTCATGTAACATGCACTTTAGTGAGGATAACGTGACTTCCATCACGTTTATGGTGAAGGCAAAGCAAGCAAATTTATAAAGGACATTTCTTACAAAATTATCAGCACCCTGAGTGAGGAAAGTCAAAGAGCCACCACTTGATTGTACTTTGAAGTAATGCCAAAAAAGGAATCATTCCTTGTGATAACAGTGCTTGTCACATTTAACCTCAGTTACACAGGATAACTAATGCAAAGTTATACTTGTGCCTTCTCCAGAACCGTAAGTGAGGAAGAACATCACTAAAAATAAAACCTCCAAAGTAACTGGGATAACAGTGTTAGCATTTACCCCAAGAAAGTTAAACTTAGTTTAAGTAACATTTTCCACAATTACCTATAGTGTTGAATGAACAGTACCTTTTATATATGAATAATTAGCGTAAAAAGCAGAAAGAATAGTGTATTGCAAAATACAAATGCTTGAGAAAAAAAAAGTTGAAAGTCTAGGCAAAAAGTGTCAAAACACTTTCTGTCCAAAGGGATAAAGCCAGGTAATTTTATGCTGACAGTCCAGAAACGAGGAGTTTCACTGAAAATAATAAAATGACATAGGAGTCCATATTAATATCATGTAAAACATGTATAGTTTATGAATGTTGATTTGAGCATTCATGGACATGTTATGAAGTGTTTATGTAAGGTGATATGAATGTGTCATGTAGACACCCTTCAAAGAAAGTGTTACCAAAATATGTATGTTCTTGTCCATATTAAATACATCATTCAAACATTCACAGTGTAGTTTGGAAAAGGTAGGTGAACCCCCAGGCTAATGACTCCAACAAAACCTAATTGTGAGGAGTTAGCAAATGTGGAGTCCAGCAATGAAATGAGATTGGAGGTGTGGGCTAGAGCTGCTTTGATTTATAAAAAGCGAAAAAAGGGCACTGCATACCATTGTAACAGTTTGTACAACTGTTACAAAGATAATCAGGCCTGTTTCATTAGTATTACCTAACTAAAACTCTTGTGGCTGAATGTAATCAAATCCTCATAGCAGTGTACAAACATCTAGTGTAAAGCATTTGCGGAAGAATAGAGACTGTTACTGCAGCAAAGGGGGTCAAACTCTATTAATACACAGGGCTGCCCAGTAGTTACTGCAGCAGATTGGCTTGATTTTAGAAGAAACACTGAAGGTGTCTACAAGAAGAAACAACATCATATACACAGAATAAATAGACACAATTACAAATACTACCCATATATACACATTCACACAGTGCACAGACATGCAGAACATGCACAAACATGATAAAACCAAATAAAGTCAGGTCAAGTGACACATTTGCAGTCAGTGGTGTGTGGGGAGTGGGTTATTGTTTGTATGGATATTCTGCCCTAGTTCTTGCCTTTTCAGTGGTTTTAACCTCTCTCACCTCTTGTATGTGTGCTCTCATTTGATCTGTGGGCAGGGACAACGTACAGCGGAATTAGTAGAAAGGTATGAGTACTTTGTGAACTTTATGAAGAAAAAAACTGTGTAGTGGCCTTAAAATAAATGTTTTTATCATAGCACACATTTAAACATACTGAAGTATATAAAAGTAAAAAGTAAATGTTTCAACAGATATATTAAACACTTTCCTATTTTGGTGATGTATGATGCAGTGGTGTATGGTGTGGTGACCAATGGTTGGTATTGGTTATTGCAGAAAGACATATTAGCATAGTCATGTGCAGTTTCATTTTATGTAGTATTCAGTTTCAATATTACTCAAGTTAAGTACAAATCTTCCAAAATAATACTTAACAGTGGGGTAACAGTGGGGGCAGGTCAATACTGATTGTGGCTGCTCTATTACAATAATTTCAGCTCAAAGTGAAACTGAATAATAAATAATAAGAAATAAATAAACATAATATGATAAAATAAATAAACATAATAATACATTTGATATTCAGCACCAAGTGTTATCCAAGTATTATCTTAGCCCTCACAGACACTCTAGTCTAACAATTTCTGAAAAGGTATCTGACCAGACAACTTTTTTGATAGCAAAGAGTCACAAAATTAGCTAGTAAATTTTTGATGCACAAATGCTCAAATTTGTGAAGATATCAGAAATCTGTTACAATTTACAGTTATGTGAATAAGTAATTACACTCCATGAAATGTTTCTTTATTTTGGCAGATGTGGACAGTATTTGATCTTCAGTTAAACCATATGTATATTTAAAAAAAATAATAATAAAATCTAAGATGTCATTTTGTCTGTTGTAAAAGTAAGTACACCCCTGGATTCACTAACTGGTGCTGCCCCCTTTGGCAGAAACAACTTTACGTAGGCGTTTCCTATAACTGTCTACCAGTTTCTGACATCTGCTGGAAGACATTTTTGCCCACTCCTCTATGCAGAGTTCTTTCAATTATGCAATGTTTAAGGACTTTTTTGCATGTAGAGCCTATTTAAAATCCTAACATAGAAATTCAAAGATATTCAGATCTTAGTCCATTCCATAACCCTCCACTTATTCCTTTTGAGCCACTCCTTGGTGAGATTTACTTGTATGTTTGAGATCATTATCCATCATCCTATTTGATAGATGGCCTCACATTCTCCTCAAGCACTCTTGTACAAAAGAGAATCCAAAGTTGACTCAGGCCAGCAGCCCCAAACCACAACATTTCCCTTGCCATGCTTTATAGTTGGTATGAGGCTCTTTTGATCAAAGGTAATGCTTTCAGTACTGTGGTCATCTGTTCCGAGCACATTGTTCCAGAAGTCCAGATCATTGCCTAGATATTCATTAGCAAACTTCAGTCTTGCCCTGATGTTTTTTTAAGGGTGGTAGATGCATGCATTTTGACATCAACAGTGTTAAGAGCTACCTGCATACCTCATGTGTGAAATTCTGAGGTTCTTTAGCATCTTACAGTATGCTCTCTGGTTAATTTGCTGGGGTGGCCTGATCTAGACAAGTTGGCAGTGGTTTTAAATCTTCTCCACTTGCAGATAATCTTCCAGACAGTGGAATGATCGATTTTCAGTATTTTGCAAATCTTCTTAAACCCCTTTCTAGATTTATAGGTATCTACAACCAGGCTGTTTGAAGGGCAGGGGAGAAAAAATAAAAAGGGCACCTACTGCGTGACATGGGGCTCTACCAGTGCACAAAAAGCTATGATGAAGTAGTGTTCATCCCTGATTAAGATTAACATTATGTTTATTAATATTATGTAGTAGTAGAGAGGCGGAGCTGATCTCCTCTAATCGTGCACAGTTGTACTGAATGAGAGCAGAACTGACTCTTTAAAAACTGGCCCTCTCTCCAGCACGGAAGTGGACAGGACGCTGGCCACGAACCTGAGAGAGAACAGATTGCTTGAACAAGGACTCTGTATTGTAAGGCTGAGTAAGCCGTTTGGGTATGAGTTGGTTAATGTTGCGTTAAATGTGTAAATCAAGCATGTTGGTCCTCTCGTGCTGACTGTCTGTCAGTGTGTGTGTCTCTGTTCGTTTGGTCTCCCAGTCAGTGTGCGTCTGTGCCACGACAGGGAACCATAAACCTGTAAAATGTTTATTTCACAAACACCTCCAAGGTAAAACACAGAGGGAACTATTAATGTGTCACAAACACATAAACACACAGACGTGATGATGTCAATAATACAGTTATGATTTGGGAGCTTGTGTCACACTTAATAAAGATGGTTCTTTAGTAAAGAAAATTGTTCTATATAGAGCCATGGACACTCAGAACCCTTTGCATGATTTAAGAGTCCTTTGTCCTTGGCACCAAAAGTGTTCTTGTGTTGTTAGAAGCTTAACATTGGTGCTATATAGAACCCTTTTCAAAAAGAACTATAAACAAGACATTATCCATCAGTCTAAAGAACCATTTCACTAGGCGAAGAACCTGTTCATTATGTAAAGGGTTCTTTGAGTGTTCATGGTTCTATATAGAACCATTTTCTTTACTGAAGAACCCTTGAAGAACCATCTTTTGTAAGAGTCAGTAGTAGTCATTCAGGTTCATTGAAAAAGCAATTGACACCAAACTTTTAAGTCCTGGGGCCTTTTTGTGCAAATTACACTAAAACAACATGCTGAGGGAAGGATTTAACACTTCAGCTGGATTTCCAAATCAAGTCCACAGGTTAGCATAAAATCAGCTAAGCAGAGTACCTGTAAGCTCTTCAGCTAGGCATCTAGGCTAAAAAATGTGGGACAGCTCTCTGTAAAAGCACTTGCAATGTACATAGGCTACATTAGGATTTAGTAATGCATCATTAGTAAAACTCATCTTCAAAGAAAGCTTGCTGTATTCTACCTCACACACTGTATTAGGATGTCAGGGTTACAGCTAAGACTGGATTAAGCCCCCTCTGACATCTGAACATTCTAGGGAGGGTGGGGCAACAACTTTGTCTTTTACTTTCAAATACAGCTAATCTAACATAATCTAACCTGACCTAAAGGGACAGTGCGTTCGACAGGGACAGGGACAGTGCATTCGAGATTAGATTAAAATACTAGCTAGATATTACCCTAACTTTGGCCCCTTTGCAAAAACGCAGAAAAGATTTGTTAGCAGCCATACAGTGTGTTTTAAATGTAAGCAGTGTTTGTGAGGTAAATTCAAAATCCTATCAAAGTATTTGGCAGCACTCCTAGACTGTCATCACGGCACCCAAGCCTGCCCTAAAGGACACCCTGTAGGGGAGACTGTAGGGCACTGCATCTGATTTTCTTCACTGGGATTTTTTCTCTCCATTGCATGGGCACTTCATTGTGTTTTCTCACTTGGAAGGGCATCTAAGAGTTTTTTTTCATTGGCACCTGTAGGAAACATCAAGTTTATCACATTGTGAAAGCACTTATATGGCACCATATGACATTTTCTCTTACACATATAGAGACACCCTTTACAGCACTACATCACATTTTATCCACAGGAGGGGCACTTCTCTATTATAAGAGGACATAATTGGGCACTTTATCACGTTTTCTCACCTGGAGGAGTAGACTATACAACACTGCATCCCATTTTCCCTATTGGAAAGGAAACATTTGGGACTGTGTCATGTAGTGGCAGCATAGAGGGCACTTCATAACGACACCCTTTTCCATTGGATGGGCACCCATAGAGAACGTCAAGTTTAGACCATTAAAAGGGGACCTTACAGGGCACTGCATCACATTTTCTCCACTAGAAGGACACTCATTAAGACACCTTATTGAATTTTCTTGCTCTAGAGGGTAGACAATAGGCACTTCCTCTCGTTTCTGCCATTCTACAGGGCACTTTAGCTATGATTTTTCAACGGCTCCCAACCCTCTCTCTGAGTCCGCCAGTGTCTACAGCCTTTTTTCTAAAGGCCTCTTTTCTAAAGCTTTTTTGATCTAGGCATGATGATACCACACAATCCAAAAACAAAGATCAAACTAGACCAGTCTGAGGTTTAAAGAAGATGGTATGGTATACTAATCATCAGAAAATACTTTATGATTGTAATTGTAACTGAAAATTGTAATTGTTACTGACCAAACTCCAAAAATAGCCTTCACTGGTTTAAATATAGTAAGGAAAGTACAATAACTCAAGAATTTTCCACCCGTCTGTGGGGGCGTGGCTGCATGCTTTACGTGTACGTAAAACCCAGACAACCCAGACCCCATCTATTCACTGCAGCATTTAACCATGCTACTCCACATCTCTGCACTGCTCTCCCTCCTCACCTTGTCAAGTAAAACCCTTTCCACCATTTTATTCTGCTCTACAGTAATACCTGTTGTACTTTGCTGTGACCTTTGCATGTGACGTTTTTGTTTCTCAGGAGCAATGGACAGTGGTATTATTGGAGGAAAGGAAGTTAAACCTCATTCCAGACCCTACATGGTGTCTGTTCAGCATAATGGACGTCATACTTGTGGAGGAATACTCATCAGAAAAGACTTTGTACTGACTGCAGCCCACTGTCTGAAGTAAGTGTCTCTTTGCTTTAGTGCTCAACATGGAAAGATACTAACGTGTGGCATGTAAGATCACATCAGTGACCACAAGAAGGTGGCTTTTTTGTTGCCTTCATTGATCAGATTTAGAAGACAGCATGCGCTAAGCTGCAACAACATTCTTAAGAAAGCCAAAAGGGATTCTTTAGAGTGATATCAGTACTCAAACACTGAAATCACTAGTCATTCTGTTTAAGCACAGACAGAGATGGGGAAAATACACTAACAATGCAATGAAACATTGTACAGTTAAAAAAGATGGTTCTCAAGGGTTCTTCAGTAAAGAAAATGGTTCTATATAGAACCATAAACACTCAAAAAATCCTTTGCATCATGAAATGACTTTTCAGATTGATGGAGAATGTGCTGTAGATGGTTCAGTAAAGAACCTTTTTGAAAAGGGTTGTTCCATTGTTACAAGCTTGACATCGTAACAAAAGAAGAACCCCTTTTGGTGCCATAGAGAACCATTTTCTTTACTAAAGAAGCCTTGAAGAGGGTCTTTAAGAGTATGCTTTTCTGTTTTAACACAACTGTAAAATACTATGGTCTTGCTTGTATTTGTGAGTAAGTATGCAAATTGCTATTGAAATTACAGTTTAGTCCTATACTAGGCGAGCATATGCCTAGACGGATTATGGTTAATTTTCTCTTTTTTTTTGCAATTTGTAATTTTCCTTCATATATTGCATGGATAATTATGGCCACAGAGTTCAATTTTTTTTTCATCTGTCCAGAGAACCTGCCAAAAGTGACAATGTAGTTCCCTTAACTACATGGCAACATGAAATGTGTGGACAAATTGAGTTTGAGTGTCTTTAGCCTATATCTATGTAAAGTTTAGGCCCAACTGTGTGCCATCTGAATATCACCAGTATCATTAGAAGTTGGTACACATTTTTATTCAACAATCCTGATCATTAAGCAACCTTTCTAAATCTCATATAAACAGGGATCTCAACCTAGTGATCCTGAATTTGGACCACAGTATTATCTATACAACAGTACTGTCTATATGTATGTTTGTATGTCATGGCAAATGTGGGGAAGATTTATATAAAGGTTTCAACATTACATTTCTTTAAATCTCAGAACATGACACCACAAATATAAAGCTATTGTTTCATTTGTTCAGTAAAGTAACATCGTCATTTGTTTTTTTTATATTTAAGGGAAAAAAGTAAATAAGATGTAAATAAAAACAGAGATACTAGATTACAAGTATGAGTGCACACAATTTAACAGATTTTCTTGAAATATTGAGTTATATTATCATACTTTTCTGAATAGGTTACTTTTGTTGCTGCTTCAAATATTTCGCGTTATATTACTCCTTGTGTAGTTGGTCGTAAGCTAGGTAAAATCTTTCTTTCTGTTCTACTTTTTTATTTCAGTCAATGAGATGTTTGTCACACAATGTAACCTGCAAACTTGGTATGCTTTACTATTCTTTGAACAGTACCAACAGAGCTGATGTTGGTCACCACAATATAGAGGTCGTTCTGGGGGCTCATAATATAAACAAAACAGAATCAAGTCAGCAGAGAATCCAAGTAAGAAATTCCATCAGGCATCCAAACTTCAATAAGTATACGACTGCAGGTAACTGGAAAAACCTAACTGTAGACATCATGCTACTTAAGGTATGACATGCTGGCCTTGGCTTTCCTCCTTTTTTACTGTTATAGAGACTTAAACACTCATTTCTCTAACTCGCTGTCTAAATGATGCCTTACAGCTGAAGTCTAATGCAAAGCTGAAAAAGTCTGTTAAAGTTATGAAGCTTCCTGGGAAGAAAGACAAGACATCAGCCAATGTGAAATGTACCATAGCAGGCTGGGGCATGAGACAGCCTAACAGTGTGGAATCTAATGTGTTGATTGAGACTTCACTCACAGTGCTGCCTCAACCTAAATGTGAAGGGATTTGGCAGATGTACTTTGACTCTGCTTGCATGATGTGCACTGCTACAGCTGAAGACAACACTTTCTGTCAGGTATGGCAGTCTGGCACTCGGATCCGGGGGGCTGCTTTAAATAACAAACTAATACAAATCATCAATCAAATCATCTAAAAATTACATCTCCCTCTCTCTCACACAGGGTGATTCTGGAAGTCCTCTGATGTGTAAGTCTAAGCTGCAGGGCTTAGCCATCTACACATCTCGAGAGAGATGCAATGACCCTACGTACCCTGGGGTCTATCTCAAAATTTCTGCATTCCTGGACTGGATTAAAAAGGTCATGAGCAAAGAGGTCTGAGGCTATTAATGTACCCCAGTGGGAACAAATACTGCTGTATTTTACATACTGTTTTAATAAAACTGACCATTTAAAAGTTACTGATGTCATTTCTTTGCAGTTTGGGCCAAATGAAGCCAGGTGCATTTTAATACTCACAAACTTAAACATTCATTTAAGACTCCTCTTTTTGTTCATTTGGATTTTGGCTGTAGCAAATTAAAGTGAACTAAACCTAGTAAACTAATGGCTAAATGGTGGAAAGGAGATCAAAACAATGTAAAAAATGAATGTTCCTTGAGTTACTCATATAAACTCAACATATGCTGCAAATAATTTTCACAGTATGCAAATTTAGTGTTTTTACTAAAAACTATTCCTTACTTTTACAAATAACTAAACAATCAGTGCGCTCTTCTTAAAAATAACTCTCACTATTAAAAAAATACTATTTTATTGAAACAAAGAAATAATGGACACAAATATAAAAAAAAACCATCATTCTGAGGCATAATTTGGACTTAAAACTAGCCACTTTTTTGATGAAGGCACTCCAGCTCATCTGATTTAATCCTCTGAAGACAAAATACGCAACCACAGAGCATCCTCCAGCTGGCTGTTAGAGAGGCACTGTTGTCTCTAAACGATCTAGAACTCCGAGCCTGGACCTAGCGAGATCCTAATGTGCGCTGTAAGAGATTCTGGGCTTTGAACATGCTTGTCTGAAAGGAGTCCAAGTCTCATCAACTTTCTTTCTTTTTGGACTTCAGAAAGGGCTGGTGAAGCACATCATGCAGCCTTCTTGCCTAACAAAGACAGGCATGAAATTAGAATTTATGTATGTGTGTTTAAAAATGACAAATATAACCTACAAACTGTTCACAATCTCTATGTTGAACTGACCTTTTGAGGGCCGAGTCCAGGGCACAGCACTAGCTCTTCCTTTGATGCATTAATGATGCCCTCCAAAGACTGTAGAGAACACAATGCATATTAAAACAGTGAATCCAATTAAAATAAGTTCAACAGATTTGCTTGGAGAGTAAACATTATACTAGTTGTGCAGTTTGGCTGGAGAAAGGGCACAATCATGTTCATCCAGAACAAGTGCTAAAAAGTATATTATTATCTTTTCCAGAAATAGGAGTCCTTACAGAGAATGTGGACAGCAGTGTGATGGAATCAGTCTTGTTGATGGACTTCACTGTGGTCAGACAATCAGTAACCTGCCAGGTTGAAAGAGAATAACAGGTGGCCATGTTCAGAGTGATAGTGTATTGGTTCATCTGGTTGAAATTCTTCCTCAGGTATGAGTTTTGTCTGTTATATCAGTATGCCATATATAAATGCAGATAATGTATAAACGTTACAAACAGCATTAACATAAGCTCATTTAGCTAAGAGTCATGGGCATTTCAGTCACATCCTGCTGTCTAGTCTGCTGCATCTGAAGTACTCCAGTTTGTTTGTGAAAAAGCAGACATTATGGAACGGCCAGTCTTTTGGGGATGGTCTTAGCCTAACATGGACACCAGACCGATTGCTGGGCTTCCTCTCGTACTGCCTGAGAAGCCGCATGCCTTGTTGACAAAACAAACCCTGGACCAGCTGGTACACAATAATGTGAATGACCGTAACATTTTTCATTCAAGCAGTGTATGATCGTCGAAGGCACGAGTGTATGGGATGCACATGTCAATGACATTTGATGAAATTTGATAAAGCCTCAGTTGGCTTTCTTTTTGTATTACCCATTCCATCTTAAATGGAACAGAAATTTGAACAAAAAGTTGACAAAGCCAATTTCAGCCTTTTTAAAGATTGAATTAGGATGTTAATCAACTTTTGGCACCACTCTTGCTGGGCCTGTTAGACAGCAACATTGACATAGGTTTTCTATATACTGTTCAGTTTATTACTATTTTGCACAATGAACATATTTTAGATTAATATTGCTTGTTAAAAATGTTTCTTATTAAAAAGTGAGGCCACTGTTAATCTACAAAGGATTATTTAAGCATCTAAAATGGTTTATCAGTGAAATATACATATGTTATAAAATCAAAGAAACGTTAGTAATACCATGATATAAAGTTTTAGCCATACTGCCCCCGACTATTTCAATAAATCATATGTGAGTGCGTATGTGCAGCTGGTGCATTCTGACCTTAGAGAGATAATCTTTCTCTACTTGCTCTTTAAGTAGATCTGCAGGCTTCTTCTCATAAGATTTGTATGTCTCCAAGTAACGACCAGCTTCTTCAGGGCTTTAGAAAAAACACAATGTTGTTTTTTTCGTAGTTGTTATCTTATAGCACAGTGTTATAAGTGGCAATGCAGCTCACAAAAGTGAACCTGTTTCCTGAGCTCACCTCCAGGCCAATATGAGCGTGCAGTCAGCCATGATGCAGATTCGAGCCAGTTCCTTCAGCGCATGATGAGGGTCTTTCTGAATCAACAAGAAAATAACAAAGGGCAGAATGTTCTTAAAAACCTGTCTCTCAACCCTCTCTAGCTAAAAAATGTAACAGAAATGGGAAGTTATAAGTGTAGAAACCAATGAAATAAGTGGCCCATCCTGACTTAAGGGAATGCCGGACAGACACAGGTTTGAAAGAGAGGGTGAGAGACATGCAGACAAAAAGTGAGGTACACAAATGAAAATCAAAGACAAACATCAAAGTCGGAAAGAGAATCAAAGCAGAAAGCCGCAGACTGACTGCTGAGCTGAGAGTTGTAACAGGATCTACATGCAAACATGACACGCACCTATTTTAATTCTAAAAAACATAGATTGGAAAGATCTCGCATCTCCAAAATGATCACTCTACAAGAGAAGGAAAAAACTTTATTACTACTTTACTTTTAATGTAAGTCAATGGAACCAGACTTCTTTCCAAGTCATTTTTGGGCATTTCTTCTGGTCCATTCATCATGAAATTTAGACACAATGTAAAGGACAACAGGCATTTTCAAATTATGTCAAAAACTGAAAAACAACAAAAATGGAGATACAAGGTTTTGCAGCGATAGCAGCGATATATATGCTAGCAGTTTTCAGATATAAACAATTGTAAATGTTGACACCAAAAGGTATTTTTAGATGTTTTAATCAATATTCCAAGAATTCTGTGAATGTTTTTAAATGATAAACAACATTCTGTAACTATCTAGTTACATATTTGTTTTGTGAAGCTATCCGTCTTAAGATTTGATTTCCACTTTTGAAATATGATAAATTCTGGATATTTACTTAAAGGGGCCATATCGTGGAAAAGCAAATTGTCCTTGCTTTTTATAGAAGGTTGATGTAGCATGTAAACATTCTTGAAGTTTCAAAACATACCATTCACTCTCCTGTCCGTGTAAGGAAACTTAAACTTGTTCTTGTTATGTCAGGAAAAACAATGGATTTACATATATCCACTAGGGGTGGGAATTGCCAAAGGACCCACAATACAATATTATTGTGATACTTAAGTCACAATACAATATTATTGTGATACTTAAGTCACAATACAATATTATTGCGATTTTAAACATATAGCGATAACATATATTGTGATATACTGCGATTTACTACCTTTTTCCCGCTGCAAATACAACCAGGTTTTTGTCAGCAATCTTTCTTTCTTGTGCTACATATTGCCACGCAAAATATCGCGATAACATGCAAACTGGCTTTATATCATTAAAAAAATATTATTAAACATATATTTCAACTGAGTTTGGTAGAAATGAATGACTGCTCACCACATCAACCTGCACAAGCAGCACTCTGAGTGTGAAAGACTTCCCCAACTGTTTCAGCCGCTCATGGATGTAGTTTGGATTCAGGTTATGGTACCGCAAACTGTAGATATAGGGAAAAAAGACAGATTGCAGATTGTTGCTTCAGTTTCTCTAGGAAAAAAAGGAACTTTTTCACCAAATTAATTATAAATCTGCATTTATGTTTGTTACATGAACAATGCTACAGGAAACCTATTTTTTGTGATTCTGTGGGGCTAAATATATTTAGCAATGCAACTTTGTACCTAAAATGAGTCTCTTTGTTCTTCCCCTTTTGTGAATTCTGACTAATTTCTTTGCAAAAGCATGAGGAGTGCGCTGTGGTTTCACACCTCTGCTGATGCTGAAACACTGCACATAACACAAAGACCAGTACCTAAGAAAGAGAGCACATGTTGTTCGACCCAAGACATAGTCAGGCACCACTTCTCCAAACTCCCATGGAACACTCCTGACAAACTTCAGAATCGGGTTTCCTCTCTGTAGTGGTGGAACATAAAACATACAAATAAGCCACAAGGCTATGCAGGCAAATGCATACTGCCAAAACATAAACAAGACATCTGGACTAGTCTCACTGGTCTCTTAAATCTGAGAAACAAAATGCCTAAAGCAGATTGCAAAGACCACCCATTAATTTAACTTCCAGGTTGGGAATGGGAAATAACTACAAGCTATACATTTTTCATCATTAGGAAAGAAAAACAAAAAAGTATACTTACAGAAAATTACACAGAAGCCGAACAACTTAAACATATATTTTTTTTATTTCAGCATTTAGGGTGTTCACCCTTTGCCTTTATTACAGCTTTTTTATTATTGTCTTTAAGGGACTTGCTTATAGTTTTTAAAAGAAGTCCAGTGCTCTCAACTGCAGTAAAACCTTACTTGCCATCTCCGATGTTAAATTTCAGTGGTCTAGAGAAAAGTTTCTTCTTTTTGTCTATTTCCTTTTCTCAGTAACAAGTTCTTGACAACTACACATACTTTCAGATCCATAGCGTTGTCTTGCAAAAGCAATAATCTTTTGATCTTTTTAAACTTTTTGTTTTTATTGTTTTCTATTTGTTTCCCCACTTCCTTATTCAAGTGAATAATCGTATATCTAATTTCCCCAGAAACATTTCCTTTAGCCATTGTAGATGCACATGAAAAAGAAATTTGTGAGACAGCTTAAGTGTGTTTGGGTAGTTGCTTGTGTGAATGTTAGTGTCTATTTGAAGGGGGATATAATTTCAGTGAGACATTTGGGAACATTTGTTGGAAGGACACAGCTGTAACTCATTGGTTTTGAGATTGAAAAAATTAA